AGAAACAATATTGTTATGAATTGTTTAATTAAAGTGTAGATTATTTATTTCTTTTCATGAATATAGTAAATACGTTATCTTTAAATGGACCATAAAAACAGAAGAGGTGAAGCAAAACAAAATAAAATAAAATAAAATCACCGGTTTGATTCATTTGGATAAAATAGGCATAATGTGGCTAGGGTACTTAGATTTTCTAAAATAAAACTACTAAAATCTATTTATTTAATTAAAAAATAGATAAATCAGAATGCTTTCTGCTTTAAAACAGAGTTTCTAGACGGATTGGCAGCTTTGTAATGGATTTGGGCCACGACAGGTCACAGCTACCCACCTGATTGCGGTCATAACTTTCTTTTGACTGAAATCGACGTGCCATCGGACCCTACTTCCAAAGAGTTAACTTCTCTTGTTGACAGTGGAAAAGTCAAAAACCAACTCATCCCTGCCCGGGCATTATGGCTTCTAATTACCGCTCCCTGTCGTGATAATGACGTTCAAATCATAATCATCGGAACCAAGCTGGTTAGCCTGACCCAAAGGAATTTTAGCCATTCAAACAAGGGATTTCGATTTAAGTTTTTGTATACACGTAAAAACCTTTTTAGATGGTTGTATCTATCTTATATGTTTGATAAAATAATAAAAAATTAATCTGATTTTTTAGATTTAGGTTATCTTGAAAATGTAAAAAAAAAACATAATTTTTAGATCCAACAAACAAAAAAAAAACATTATTTTATGATTTTTATATGCTACATATGTATAATTTTTATAATATTATTACTTTAATTTTTTTTATTGATATATAACTTAAGACATTTTCGTGTTTTAGAAATTATAAATTATGATATTTGTTGAATTCACGTAATTGTCTTGAATTAAAATATTTTTTAATGAGATAAATTGTTTATTTATAGAAGAAATACAATGAATCACTATGTAAATTTATGAAATGGAAATTTAAATATTGATTGATAATCAAGAGTTTGAATTTGACATCAAATCTCATGTTATTTAAATTATGATTAGAGTCAAATCCAACACAATCACAATGGTCATTTTAAACTTTTGTTGTTGGAGCTATAGACTATATTGTTGCTAAAGAGTTAACTCAACACAAGTACTTAATTAATTAAAGGAAAGGGAGAGAAAAGATAGAAAGGACAAAACGACATAATTTAATATGTTTAAATGCTAAATGAGAAATAGCTTCATTAGAGAGGTGTGAGCCAAGAAAAGATAGCTTTCCACATACGGTCCAAGTCAAGGGAGCATATCGATATCTCTTAGGAACTACTTTTCAATCCTCTACTTACCGTTTCCTTTTTATTTTTTGAACAAAATACTAGTGTCTCCTCTTGATGTGCCTTTGTCCCATGAATTGATACTTTTTTCATATGTTTTTTTTCCCCCAATATACGGTGAATATATTTATTGATTTTTATATAATATTCAAAACATTACGATAACACTAAAAGAAAACGAAAACCCACTTAGCACTTTCACTGTTTTTTTTTTTTTGTTCGTCGGTTGCTGTAGCTAAGCTTGTAAGAAACTTTACTTCTTATTTTGGTCCTTATTTTATAATTTATTTTCTTTTGATCACTATAATTTTATTATATTTGATTTTTATTCCCATAATAAATATTAAAATTTTATTATATTTGATTTTTATCCCTATAATAAATATTTTTTTATTGTTTTTAGTAAAAATTTATGTTCTTTTTTTGTTCCTATTTTGTAATATGTTTTTATTTTAATCATCAAAGTTTCATCTTTACTATACTAAAACTAAATAAAGATTACTATTCTAAGCTTTTTTTTTTTAAAAAAAAATTTAGTGAAACTTTTCTTTTTATTATAATTCTTGTTTTGTGATTTTTATTTGTTTTGGCTATTAAATTTAGCAAAATTTTATTTTTTTAGTCCCCGTTTTGTAATTGTTTTTTATTTTAATCATTAAATTGTTATTATATTTGATTTTTTTCCTACAAGAAACTATTTTTTACTTTTAGTAAAAAATTTTGTTATTTTTTGGTTTTTATTTTGTGATCTTTCTTTTATTTTGATCATTAAAATTTTATTATATTTGATTATTATTCATTCTATACTAAAATTAAATACTTGTTTCACTATTCTAAGTTTTTTTGGCTTTTAGTAAAAAAACATTTTCTATTTTGGTTCTTATTTTGTTTTTTTTTTTATCATTAAAATTCTATCGTATTTTACTTTTGTTCCTACCTCATACATAATGAATTTTTTTAGGATTATTGTTTATAAGTTTTTTTTTCTTTTACTAAAAGTTTTTTTTATTTTTTTATTTTGATCATTCTTTTATGATCTTTACTTTGTTTTGATGATGTAATTTTTATCGTGTATAATTTTATCTCTATTTTTTTTTGCCAAATTCTCGATTTGATAAAGTTTTTTGATCTTTTTTTTTTTGAGTGGTCTCTCTATCTTATTAACAAATTAAAGATGAATAATATATGGTAAAAATTAATCATTTAAAATTTAAAAAACTACCACATCATAATTTTAATTACTAGTTATTATACATATTTTAAATAAAATACATGTTTGTATCAAACAATATCTAATTAGCAACATTATATTACTCAACTTTGCATACTTTTCGTTTAACTAACATTGTAGCAATATATGAAACATATGTTTTGGTTTTTAAAAATTTTTTTTTCTTGTGATCCTTTTAAATAATTATTTTTAAATTTTTTATTTTATACGAATGAACGTATAAGAATGTTGTATAGCTCACCATGCGACAACGCGTGAGATATATGCTAGTTTCATCTCGTTCTTAGATTTTTAATTGCATTTTATTTTTAATTTTTTTTATAGAAATATTCAATTTGTCATTTTAATTAAACAACAAAAACACTTAAGGTCATATGAGCAGTATATTTTATTTTTTAATTTTTTAAAATTTTATTGTATTGTATTTCAATCTAGGACATTTTGTTCAAAATTTTTTCATATGGTTGAAAAAATTAATCTAAAGAACAAATTAAATATTTTTAAAAATAAATGTGATGTAATTAAAAATCTAAAAACATATAAATTTTTTAAATATTATATAAAAACTGATAAATATATTTATCTTTTTAGACAATTATCCTGTATATTTTTTACTGTGTTTGTCCACAACCCACAATTCACACTTTAAGGTCAATTCTTTATTGCACGCTTGTGTTTTTTAATGCTCTTTTACCATTCAAATCTTTCAATAGTCTTCTGAATAGATTGTACGAATTTCCATTCTCAAAATCTAAAAAACAACACTACAACTTGAAATCAATTTTTCTCATGCAAAAAACCTTATTCTTTGGTGAACAAGAGAACGATCAAAGTTTTTACCCTAACAATACAGGGTACGTGTGTGCATATATATATATATATATATATATATATATCAGGTAATTTTCTCAAAATTAGTTTACTACTAATGTTTTCTCTCTTTTCTTTTTCTTAGAGTTATGGTACTTTTAGTCTTTTTTTTTTTTTGTGCATACCAAAAGTAAATCTTTTTTGTAATCAGGCTTCAACGTAATTCTATTACATTAGAAAGACAAGAAAAAACATTTTATTACATTAAAAAATATTTCTTATCCGAAGCATTTTATTTTAATACAAATTAACTCAAATATTGTAAAAAAAGAAGAAGAAGTTTACAACCCAAGTTTTAAGACTGCATTTTCATGATGACATTTTTAACCAAATATGCATATAATCACAACAAAAAGTAAAAATCTTAAACCTAATGGTAAAGAACAATTAATGGACATTAAAAACTTAATTGCTGTAAAATTAGAGGGGTCAAGTTTTCTGTACAAGCAAATTTCTCAAAAAAGCTGGATGAGCTTTTACTATCTATTTATTTTGACAGCTTTTATTTTCCCTCTTTCAACAAGTCAAAGCATTAAAAACCAGTTCAAACTTCAATTCGTTAGGCCAATGGATGGAGCAAAAAAAGAAAAAAAGGAAAAAAACTACTCTTTGACGCAGCCAACGGCGTCGTTTATTTGAACTTTCTAATCAGAACAGATAGATAACGAGGATTTTACACAACGAAGTTAACACCTTTGACTTCCAGTTGTTCACTAGTTAGAGACCCAAAAAATAAAAATAAAAAAGGTTTGCTTTTATGAGTTTTTTTTTTCAGTTCCCAAATCTCTCCACTCTCTTTCTCTCTAAAACAAAAAACAAATCATCATCATCATCATAAAAACAATCGCTCCTTTCTTCCCTTCTGTCCTTTTAGGGTTTAAATTAAAACTCTCCAAAATCTAATTCCTTCGATTTCAATTCCATCTCTCTCTCGAGAATCCAATTCAATCACTTGCCACAGGTCAGGAAGCTACTCACTTCAATTCACAATTTCTCTCCTTCTTTTTTCTCTTTTTTCTCTCTCTCTCTCTTTTTTTTTACCATTTTTACACGATCATTTATAAACCCTGGGTAATGGATTTTATTTAATTTCGTCATTCTCTGAATTAGTTTAGGGTTTGGATCGCATTTCTAGTCGTTGATTTCCTGTTCTTTCCGTCTCGCGAAATTGCGAGGGTTGAATTTGAATATCGAGCTTAGAAAGTTTTTTAATCGAAGAGTTTAAATTAGGTAAAGAGAGGATTAGGACTCGAGCTTAATGTTGTTACTTCATGTGGTTAATATTGTTAAAGTTTTTTCTTTTTGTGCAGAATTATGAAACGAAGCTAAGTTTGTTAGATTCTTATTTTAGTTGGTGACGGAATTTAGTTTTTTTTTTAAGGGAAATATTGTATTGGTGCTTTATGGCATTAGCTTGGAGATGAAAGTGAGGCTTTTGTGCACACGAATGCGCTTCTGAATGGTTGTATTCTAAGGTGCATGATTTTGGTCAACTGTTTTATTTTATTCACGGAATGAACTGGGTGAATGGGATGGTTGCTTGATTAGTTCGGTTTCAATTAGTTTTGGGCATGTTATCATTTGTTTTTATTATGCTAGTTGCAGTTCGGGTTCTTTTTGTTGTTGTTGTTGATGATGATGATGGTTGGTCTTTTCAACTAAATGTATACATATGCAAGGCAAATTTAGTTTTGTGTTACTCATTAATGTTGTGAGAAAGGAGATTTGGTTAGCACTTAGAATGTTCTGCTGGGTACATCTTATGCACATGAAAAAGTAAAGATGCTAGCTGTGTGTTTTTTTTATATAGGAAAAACTGTGAATACATTCTGGGTTGGATAAGTATTCTCAAGGAATGGCTTATCATCTTTTTTTATTTTTTTGCTCTCTACCTTTTTTTCCTCCTTTATTTTTCTAAGAGAAAATAGTTGTTACTTAATGTGTACTTGTTCCAGAAGCTTGGAGGAATTAATAAGATATTTGTGGCATTTTCTAAATGCTAATTGATGATTAATTTTTTTTCTCTCATAGGGGTTGTTGCAATGCACCGTGTGGGTAGTGCAGGGAACACAAACAATTCTGTTCGCCCACGTAAAGAGAAAAGGCTAACATATGTTTTGAGTGATGCTGATGACACAAAGGTGAAGAGATCTTGATATTTGTTCAGTTTTTATCGTCAATTTTTGCTCAACCTTTTTAGTATTTTGAAGTGAGGCAATTTCTGATGTACATATGTGATTGCTTTGTATGTGGTTCTCATGTCCACTTTGATGTCATATAAGTGCTTAACACTTAAATTGCTTGATTGATATTCTAGCAAAATCTACTTTATGTAATTAATCATATCTACCCTGCACGGGACATGATGCTGTTTTTTTATACTGCTAAATGTTATGAGGAATATTCAAGTATTCGCATCACATTCTTTTTTGGTGTTGCGATATATAACAAAGTTATCAGCAGGCTGTTTTTTCAAGTTGAATGCTGGGTGAATGATCCTATTCTGCTATTGTACTTGGTGTTCCAATTCTTTTACTATATATTCTCTCTGATTGCTTAATGATGCTAATGTATTTATATTGTGCTTTCATTTTTATTTGGCTTTTTTGGAGTTGGGATTGGAACTATGATACTTTTTTTCTTCTACAAAGGAATGTAAAAGTCACTACATTTTGGGAGGCTGCTGTCTGTTTCTTAGGTTCGTTTATGCATGATATGATGTTTTATGGACTAGAGTAAACTATGATTATAATGTTCATGATTTCCTTGATTAAGTTGAATGGTACCTCATCTTTTCTAAAATTGAGTTCAGATGAGTAATACTCATAAATGCTCAAAGCATCTTTAAGGGCATACAATGTTAATATTTACCTATAATAGAAAAAAGACGGTATAGTTACTTCCTCTCCAGTTGTATGCGGCTTTATTTTCTTCCAACAGATCACATTTTGCTGAACTTGTTTCTTCTAATGGAGTCATGGATCCTTATACTTCTTGTTTTGGGACATCTCTTTTGCAGCATTGTGCTGGCATAAACTGTCTAAAAGTGTTAAGGTCCACTGTATCTGATGGGTGTGATTACCTCTTCACTGGGAGTCGTGATGGCACGCTGAAGAGATGGGCCCTTTCTGAAGATTCCACGACGTGCTCTGCTACATTTGAGTCACATGTTGATTGGGTACCTTTTGAACCCTTTGGCAGTTTGTTCATTATTACATCTGTTATCTATCAAGGATCTAGTTGGTGCTTAATTGTTGCCTTTGGTTATTGGGTAATATTTTTAGCTGATTTTTCTGGCCTTTCATGAGCTTGGACTTTGGATGGAGCAAGATTGATTTGATAATTGTCACCCAGAATGAGTTTTCTAATCAATTATCATATGTGAATGGGCAAGACGCTCTCACACTCCAAGTGTGTCAAACATGCAAACATGTTTCTTTTCATTAAATAAGCTTTTAATATGGTGATTTAGAGTGCCCTCATCTTTGTAATTATTTAGTTTTATTTGTGGAGTGGAGCAATTTATTATGCTACTATTTTCTTATGTCATAAACTTTTTTATGTGAATACCTGAGATAAATGGGATATATATGGGGGGCTCCTGGTTTTACAGGTAAATGATGCTGTCCTTGCTGGTGATAGCACCCTTGTATCCTGCTCTTCAGATACCACCCTCAAGGTTTGTGAATTTTCAAATTTTTTTTGGTTTTGTACTGAATGAGTTATTGGCTGTTCACTTGCTGACTGAGCTGTTCATCGGTTAATTGCTCATCTTTTTGTTATTCTTATGGGTGATATACCAGACATGGAATTGCTTATCTGATGGAACTTGTACCAGGACTCTTCGTCAACACTCTGATTATGTTACTTGTCTTGCAGCAGCAGAAAAAAATGTAATTTCTATGTCAATTTTTCGTGGATCTTATTAACTGCATGGACGAAAGGTTCCTGTCATTGCATCTTGCTATCTTAACTTAAATAGTCAATTCTGTAAAACCATGCTTGAAAGTATGGTGTCATTTTCTGATCTTGTTTTAGTGTCATGCATTTTAGAGCAATATTGTTGCCTCTGGAGGCCTTGGTGGGGAAGTTTTCATATGGGATGTGGAAGCTGCACTTACTCCAGTGTCAAAGTCTGGTGATGCAATGGAAGAGGATTGTTCAAATGGTGTAAATGGTTCTATCAATTCATTGCCCATGACAAGTTTACGAACCATTAGCTCAAGCAACAGCATTTCTGCACACACGACTCAGTCCCATGGGTATGTCCCAGTTGGTGCTAAAGGCCATAAGGAGTCAGTCTATGCGTTGGCAATGAATGATAGTGGAACCCGTCTTGTCTCTGGTGGGACTGAGAAGGTATATTAATATTTAGATATTACAGTTATTTGTTTGTTTATTTATATATCTTGATAATTCAATAGCTTTTATTGGGAATGGGAATTTGAACTCAAAGCTTTCCTGTTTCCAGAGAGGTGTAACATCAGGCTTACGACTTGGCGGTTGATATTTCTGTCATTTGTGTATTCTTACCTCTTTACGCAGCTGTATCGTAGACACATAAGATGATGGAAAGAGCTTATATGCATGTTCTCTGCATACATGTTTAGATCATTTAATAGTTTGAAAAGATACTGGCTTCTTGTAAGTAAGAGATGATTTATCTCGTCCTCATTCCTATAGGTTGTGCGTGTTTGGGACCCCCGTACTGGTTCAAAGGCTATGAAGCTAAGAGGGCATACTGATAACATTAGAGCTCTGCTTCTGGATTCTACTGGCAGGTTGGTTGAATGGGGTCTGCAGCTATTAAGTTTTGTCTGCATGAGATTTTTTTGTTGAGAATTAAAGTTTGGTTGTTCTTTAGTTTATCTTGTATGACAATGAAAATTAATAACTGTCCCCCCACCCTTCGAAGAAAAAGAAGAAAAGATTCTAGTACAGGGATTGTGATTCTTACATGCTGCATGCATTCATACTTCCTGGTTTGCTTTCTACCTTTGTTTTCATATTAGAATCTCCTATTTCAACCCATAGTTAGTGCCAAAAGATTATAGTATAGAGATTATGATTCTTACATGCTGCATGCATTCATACTTTCTTTGAATGTGCTCATAACAGTAATTCTTGAAGAACTTTACAAGTGATTTATGTTTCTTAATAGTTCAGGCAGTGTATGGGTTGTACTTGTATCTTTCCAACACAGACTGCTCTTTTCTGTAGCAAGTTTAATTGGATAGCTCTTCCACTTTGTATTTTATTTTTATTGCTGTTTCTTAGTAACACATTTTCCAATTTATTTTTGTAGGTATTGCTTATCAGGTTCTTCTGATTCTATGATCAGGTGGATATTTTATGCCTTTTTTCTTTTTCACTCTGATCCATATATCCAACATCCATCACTTCAATCTTAAAAATGTACAAGACCTTGTGTTAAACTGTTTACGGATTGTTTTGTAGGCTGTGGGACCTTGGCATGCAGCGATGTGTGCATTCATATGCTGTGCATACAGATTCTGTTTGGGCACTTGCTAGCACTCCAACGTTCAGCCATGTATACAGTGGTGGAAGGGACCTTTCTGTGAGTAGATTTTCCTATGAAATCTAAATAATTTCCACATAATTTAGTGTTATTTTTTATGCCCAGATTTTTGATACCCAATTCTGTTTATACCCTCAGTTGTACTTGACAGACTTGGCGACAAGAGAGAGTCTCTTGCTTTGCACAAAAGAGCACCCCATTTTACAATTGGCATTACACGATGACAGTATATGGGTTGCGACAACAGATTCTTCAGTTCATAGATGGCCTGCTGAAGCACACAATCCTCAAAAGGTCTTTCAAAGAGGCGGTTCATTCTTGGCTGGTAACCTTTCCTTTTCAAGGGCAAGAGTTTCTTTAGAAGGATCTACTCCAGTAAGTAATGATCATAGCCTTTTACTGGCAATTGATGCTATTGCATGTAATAAGTTCTTCACCAAGTCATCCTATTTAATGTCTTACATCCAATTTTCATTTTTTGTTAATTTTTGAGTCAACTTTTTCTGAATGTTTGAACTGGGGATAATTCCTTCATGTTTTTCTAAGTCACCATATATTTGTTTATTGATTTCCACTCCCCACACATGATGCTGTGACTACACCAAAGTTTCTCATGGTCTGAATTATGTTGTGTTCTGCTGCAGATTTTCCCTTTGGCTTGTTTTAATTGTTTTTTTTTTTTTTCATTTTTATGAACGATTTGTGCTGAGTTTCTAAAAATTATTACCAACGCTCTTGCAATTCCTTTTTTTCTTATTCATTATTGCACTGCTATGCTTTTCTATAGGTGCCTGTCTATAAAGAACCAACCTTAACCATTCCTGGAACTCCAGCAATAGTGCAGCATGAAATTTTAAATAATAGAAGGCATGTCTTGACTAAGGTATGCATGGTACTTTTGCCCATATTTATTGCAATTAACACCAAACGACCAAACTTTTTTCTTTTTTCGGGTTTTAGCTCTGAAACTTACTTGTCATGCCTGTTTGAAAGGATACTGCTGGCTCCGTGAAGCTATGGGAGATCACAAGGGGCATTGTAATTGAAGACTATGGGAAGGTTAAATCTCCTTTTCCCTTTCCTTTTTTGTGTGAACGGTTGATTAAATCCTTGCAATAGTTCATACCTAATTGCTGGAAGAGGAGGTAGTTGCTTGTCTTATGGTGCACTAATTATGTCATCTATATGTGTGTATAAATTGGGTTTCAAGTTTGGCATAATACAGGCACTATCCGTATTTACAATTTGACATTTTCCAGGTTTCATTTGAGGAGAAAAAGGAACAATTATTTGAAATGGTATGATTGCAAGATCTTTTTCACTGTATATTGGAGTTGTTGCATAGGATTTTTGTGAATCTTACTGTTGATATCTTTTACGTTCCAGGTCAGCATTCCTGCATGGTTCACTGTGGATACCAGGCTTGGAAGCTTGTCTGTTCATTTGGACACACCACAATGCTTTTCTGCTGAGATGTATTCAGCTGATCTTAACATAGTTGGGAAACCTGAGGATGATAAGGTAAAATAATAAAATTTTTGTACATGTATGAGTTGGGAAAATGTTTTAGAAAAATGGATTCTGTTGATTTTCAATTGTACACGAATGTTAATGGGTTAGAATGTTTACCCCACTTGAGAATGAGTTGAATAGGGAGCTAGTTTATTCTTCTGAAAGAATTCAAACATTTGAAGGATGAAACTGTTCAGTGAGTGCCCCTTGATTATAAACAAACAACTGATGTCTTCGTTGAGGAGGACCCCAAAACTGACATTACCAAGTGCTATGTCTTAATATGTGTAGAAGTGAAATTATTTAGGCATGGTTCTATTGCAGCTTACAGTCTTCTCTACGTGTAATAAATGGTGATTAAACGGCAGTATAACAATTTGTTCATGGTAGAAGCAGATTGCTTTTCTTGTCAGCATTGTTTTTTAATTTCTAAATTATACTCATTCATAACATTTATCCATGATCTGCAGGTTAATTTAGCTCGTGAAACCCTTAAAGGTTTGTTGGCTCATTGGTTGGCCAAGAGAAGGCAAAGACTTGGATCCCCAGCTTCAGCTAATGGAGATGTTTTATCCGGAAAGGATGTTGCTCCTAGAAGTCTTGGCCATTCTAGAGTTGAAGTTGATGGTGGTTCTGAAAATGATTCCATGGTTTATCCTCCATTTGAATTTTCAACTGTTTCCCCTCCTTCAGTGGTTACTGAAGGCTCTCAAGGAGGTCCATGGAGAAAGAAAATTACTGATTTAGACGGAAGCGAAGATGAAAAGGACTTCCCTTGGTGGTGTTTGGATTGTGTGTTGAACAATCGCCTACCACCAAGAGAAAACACCAAGTAACTTTTTTATTTTCTTCACTGAATTATAATTTTACTTGCAAGACATAGTGAAGCATTCTTATAATGGGAATTGTGCATCTGGTTCCAGCTGTTATTCTTATTCCTTAATTTATCCTGATTGATTTTCAGATTTGGTTTTTAAATATTTATGCTTCATATTGGACTGTGCACTGTGTTAACAATTAATTTGTTTTTGTGCTTATATCTTGCTCATTTTAATTGGGTTTGTTTCGGCAGATACATAATGAAAGTGATTAAATTTCTGCAGGTGCAGCTTTTATCTGCATCCATGTGAAGGTTCAGCTGTTCAGATCCTCACACAAGGCAAATTAAGTGCACCTCGCATCCTGAGAATACATAAAGTAAGTTTGATTCAGCAACTTAGAGGAAGAAAAGATTTGCATGTGTGTATTATGTGGAAATATTGCACAACACTCATGTGCTTTTACTATAATATGTTAGTGGTACATTCTGGAACATATCCTTTTAAAGGAGCTCTGCTGGAAATTACTAGACATTGCTAAAGGAATAAAACATGTAAGATATATGAGAGATATCTGACTTGTATTTTTGTCATGGAAAAAACTATACTGAATATAAATCAGGATTGCATTTTGATAGGATGTGATTCTCCATTATACTTCTGTATTTCTTTTTCAGCGATTTAATATAAATTTTCTTTATTAACCCCCCCCCCCTCCCAAAAAAAAAAAAAAGTATTCCATAATGTGGTCTGTTATAGTTAAATGGACTAGCATTTCTGGAATACTTTCAATGATTTTTATTTTCCATTTTTAATTTTTTTATGGGCTTCGATGACCAGAATGCTTTATATGTAGTGGATGTAAAAGGTCTTGTTGTATGTGGTATATCTATTGCTGAGATGATATATTTGCTTCAACTTTTCTCAATTTAGCACCTTCTAGATGGATTTCCCCTCAGAGAAGCTTCACTCTACAATAGACAAATACATCAAAGGAAGAGACTATAGGAACAAGTTAACAACCCAAAGCAGCCTGTTTCTATAAATAGATCAGAAGAGAACATGAAGTATTTATATGCAGTAGGCTGCTTTAGGTTTTAAATGTTATGTGCTATATATAATAGAACAACCATTAAAGGGATGAGAAGTCAAATAAATTGATATTTGTAGATTTCTGAAATTATATTCTCAATAATGTTTCTTTATTGATTTTGGATTTCTGTCCAATTTCTTTTGTTGTCTAAAATATGAATTGATGGCAAGAATTAATCCTCATGTGATGATGCATTTGAGTGCAACTCTGGATTTCAGCTAGAATATCTGGAGAATAATTAAAAGTATTTTTTCGTATCAAGAAATCATAGTTAATTGCCTTTTCTTGATGTTATATAGCAGTCTAGCATGTGATAAAAGTCGAAGTGTAAAACTCTTGTTCCTAAGTAGAGATGCATTGATATTGCAACATTGATCTGGTCAACTTTTAGCTTTAGTCACTGTGAAAAAGAAATAAGATGTGAAGCAAATCCTGAGTTAGAATCTGGTTTGCCATTGTATTTGCTGTGATATGCTGAAGTATCTATTTTTACCAACTGGGTTTTACTTGCATGTTTGTGTAGGTTGTCAATTATGTCGTAGAAAAGATGGTCCTTGACAAACCACTGGATAGTGTGAATACTGATGGAACATTTGCTCCTGGACTTGGAGGACCCTTGCAGCATTCAGTGGTTGGAGATGGATCTTTCCGATCTGGATTGAAGCCTTGGCAAAAGCTTAAGCCTTCCATAGAGATCTTGTGCAATAATCAGGTCATTTTCATTTCGTTTTTATTTTTTTCCACAAAATGAAATCAAAAGAATTTTACTTGCATAATAAGGTTATTTAGCTAAAAAAAAATAAAATCATCAAATGTATTTTATGCTACAGGATTGTTGATTCATCGGTTTTTAAAATGATACATCCATCTTTAAGGGGACATTTTAGCACAATAAATTCATTAGCAGAGACTGTCCAAGAGCACATCATCTTTATAAAATGAGTTGTAAAGGTTCAAACTAAAATTGCATACTGTATGAGAAGACAAGTCAGACTCTCGGTCGAATATAAGAATCACCTTCTGCTGTTTTTGCTTATTTATGCGCTCTTCTCTTATTATATTTGTTTGTAATATTTTCTCAAGCAAAGAGTGTCTTTTCTAGGTCTTATCCCCGGACATGAGCTTAGCCACGGTGCGAGCTTACATATGGAAGAAACCTGAGGATCTGGTCCTTAATTACAGAGTTGTTCAGGGAAGGTGACTCCATGCAACTTTTGGGAGCAGGTGAGTGTCGACTTATTCTCTTTGCCTAGCTTTATTCTCCCAAACTCTTAAATGCCTTTTTTCCTTTTCTTCTTGAGTTGAAACATATGTGATGCATTTTTCAATATTAGTGAGAAGTTCTCCTTAAATTTTATGGCCTAAATAAAGGCAAGGAAGTCGAATTTGTTTGTTAGTAGGGTTTATTTAAAACTGCTCTTTCTCCAGAATTATGTTTTATTGCATTGAGAGAGGCTACTGAACATTGCTGATTCATTATACTCATATGATACATACATACATACATACATACATACATACGTATATTTATATGGAGACCAAATAGTTGATCATTTTTCAGGCTATTATTATTTATTGGGTCACAGGTTAGCTTGGCTTGTGGTGATCAAAATCATGTGCTTGTGTAAGACACTGGGGAGGACATTGATTCTTCTTTGGGTACTTCACTTGAATGGACATATCCATTGGATCCTTGTAAATTTGGAAAATCAATCGATTGCTGAATCTATGGCCTTTCTCCAAACTTTGCTGAGAAGATCCTGTTTCACATTTTCCTTTGTCGGACAGATGGTATATAAATTTTGAACTTTGTCGAGACGGTCATGCAAGCATTTTTTGGTTGGACATTGCCAAGTTGTAGGGCAAGTCTGCTTGTGGCAATAGAGAGATTTGTGACTGGTGGAGAATTAACCAGAAGTATCCTAGGAACTGTGGTAAGTGGTGCCAAATTAGGGTTATGATGTCAAAAACGTTGTGTAGATTTGTACTGTTGGGTACAATACCTAGCCATAGAAACACTGTTATGAAAATGGTGTTTTTCTTTTCTTCTTTTTGGAAATAATACAATTCTCATTTGGAAAGTTTCCAACTAGTCATTCTATATATGTGCCTATAATTTTTGCCCCGCATCTCTGCATTTGTTAATTTATTTGGTGTTGGTAAACAAAATCTTGTAATGGGGGAACTAGTCGATAGATTATCACAGAATAATTGTTTTCAATCCACATGGTGTGCTCCGTGTCGCCATATCTAATTGTAATTGATTTTTTAGCTGCAGATTATCTTTATTTTTATTTAAAGTCGTTTCCAATTGTATTCAGTTCAGAACAACTGGAAATAGCAATTGCATGTATGGAATCGTAAAATTCTTTTGAATTTCATACACGCAGAGCAACATAAACCGTTTAACTGGAATCAGGTGAAGCCGAATGATTTATGCAATTTGGTGCTACCAAATTACTTCTATTGTTTCCAAATGTGCAAATGTCTCTCTTCTTCAATTTTATGATTGTTGTGCATGTATGTTAGACCTGTTCATGAGAGAATCAATTACATACAGCAATATCATGAATTAGTTGCTTGTTGTATAAAAACAGTTGGCCTTTTGTTATATTCTTTTTATTCAGAAATTACTTATTTAATGTCAAGGAAATACTGCTATGCACTTGCACCTTTCTATTTTTGGCTGTATCTTGTGCCACATCTTTGGAAGCAAAAAAGCCAAAAATGTTTTGAACAAAAAGAAAAAAGAAAAGAAAAAGAAAAAAAGAGAAAAGACCAAGAATGAATGTCCACACGTTGCCTTGTTGTTTTCCTTCGACTAGCTGGAGGCTTATAGCCACTTCTTTTCTTTGGAGAGTGGAGGCAGAAGACCAAAAGTTTCAGGAGCCGCCATATCGTGCCTTATTAGTTCGGAGTCAAGTGTACATTTGATGACACTAATCTCATAAGAGTTTTCTTTCCCTTTTAGGCTGCCTGACAATCTAAATAACTTTGTTTGTTTGTATTTTTTTTTTTTTGTTTTTGTTTTTTTCAGTATGGCAAGTAGAAGTCATGAGATGTAGACTGCATATTAACTATGAGGTAGGGGATGGTTACTATATAAACTTTTTACTTCCCACTAATAATATATAGTATTGTTTGAAAGACCCCTTAATCGAGTTATCACTATTGTTCTCCATAAGTTTTCTCAGTTAAATGCAGAAATATGCTTGGATTTTTCTTATTTTCTACGTATTAGGTTATTCTAGACAAACATTAGAGTAATAAAAAGAAATATTACAAATGGTTGAAACAATGGTTTCCTAATAATAATAAATAAATAAATATACGGAAGCTGGAACAATGAAGAGTCTTCAAGTTTTTTTCCTTCCTCGTGGGCCACGAGGTAGGGACTTTCCTCAATGTTGGCCTAAGACGCTCAATTATTAAACTTTTTTTTTTTTTTGATAAAAAAAGCTCATAACAAAAAGTCATTGACCTTTTCAGAGGGTTCCAAAAACAAAATTAATCATATTGAATTAATTCATCATTATTCGTTACCTCTTAACTTTCATATAATCACTCAATGATTATGTACTTAATTATGAGAAATAACAATAAGTTTAATAATGGACTGAACAACTACAGTGAGGTGTCCTTTAACCTTGACTCAAAGAAAGTTGTAAGGCTGATACATCAATTTTTTTTACTAAACTGACTCTTTTTATTGTGCCAATATTCATTAATCCTACGATCACATGATTTTCTTTTCTTTTTTTTTTTTTGGTTAAAATCATAAATATTTTAATTGCATTTATAATTTACCTATTAATTTTAACTGGATTTTATATTCGATTCATAAAACAATCAATCGAATCTAAAGTCGTCATATAAAAAAAAGACTCTGCATTCAAAATTATAAAGAATTACAAATCTCATTCAAACAACAATATGGATCAAACCTACGTTCGTTCCAAGACAACAAAAAAACCTCAGCCACATGCAGCCAAACTAAATTAAAACTCGTAGATAAAAAATGTAAAAATAGTTGCCGCCGGCCTCCTAAGTCCTAATAACTTGATCCCTCTTATCATCGTCTTGGATGCTATGTAATTCCAGGTTGTTTAATACATATACTGAAAAATTCATTTCTTTCCCAGAATCCGGCCATTATCAAAGCAGGGCCCTACTGATGGGCTGATGACTGATTTTTCGTATTTATTTAAAAAGAAACTCAATTTACTAGCAATAAAAATGACTTTTTGGTTAAGGGATGATGAGATAGAATCTTATAAACCATAATTTAAGTAATACTTCTCACAATGTATCTCTTTCATCCTTTATGTAGGCCATTAGTTAGATAAGCTGTGGTATATTTAGGTACGACAACCATTATATATATAGGGTTAACGATTCATATGTTATGATGCGAGTAAATGTTTTATTTGCAAAGATTAATGTAAATCGAATCTATATATTTAACGAACTTGTTTGATATATATATTTATTAATAAAATAATTTATAATATTAGTATAAAAATTTATATTTAAATAATTAAAAGGTTCTTTGAAAATATTAATTAAATTATTTCATTTAAAAATACATATTTTAGAACTTGAAAAAAAATAAAAAATAAAAAATTGATATTATGTGTGCAAATATAATTAATTTATAACAAAACTATATATATATTACTTAGCAGATTTAGAGTATATAAAATAAATAAAAAAAATATAAAAAACCCACCTAAATCGTATGAAATATATCAAAGTAAATAAATTTAAATAAAACTACTATAAATTTGGTTTTGATGAATTCTAATTATATATATATATATATATATATATATATATATATATATATATATATATATATATATATATAACCAAATAAAACTTGTAAGTTTTTTAACTAATTATTATTTTTTTAAAAAAAATTGATCCACTTAAATAAGACTTAGAGTATATAAAATAAATTAAAATTATATAAAAAAAACTCACTTAAATTGCATGGAATATATCGAAGTCAATTGATTTAAATAAAAATTATAATAAAATTGGTTTTGATAAATTTTGATTATATATATATATAACCTGTGAATTTTTAACTAATTATTAATTTTTTTTAAAAAGCCAAATTATTTTTTTAACTGATTATTATTTTTTAAAAAAATTAAGTCAAATTATATGAAATACACTTTTAGCTCTCTCTTTCTTATCGGAATTTATATATGCAACAACGCTATTTTCATTGAAAAATTATAAAAATAATCAACCGTATAAATTATAATAATATATTTTAAAAAAATAAAGCAATCATGTTCTAAAATTTTATTTCAAAAGCTATATATATATAAAATCAAATTTATTAACAAATAAAATTATATAAAATTTAAAAATTAATTCGATGAGAATTTTAATAAGAAACAAACAATTGAAGAAATAAATTTTAAATAATAAAAATAATATAATATGGTATATATATTCAAACAAAAATATTTAAAAACTTTATATATATTCTATTACTATCAAACTGTACATAAAAAAAATAATGATCTTTTTTTTATATTTTCATACCTAATTTCATGATAAAAAAATAAAAAAATAAATTATTTATATAAAAGGAGAACAATTGTCATATGATATTTAAATAAATCATTTATTAATAAATATTATATTATTATACCAATATATTTAAAATAATATTTTATTAATAATAATGTAATATTAATTTAATTATATGGTATAATTATCAAAAATATTATATTACTAAAATACTTATCAATTTTTATATATATTCAAATTCATAAAATAATATATTAATATATTATTTATATCATAATTTAAAATAATAACAAAATATTATATTGTATAATAAATACAATATTCACAATCAAAATACAAATAACTATTTTATAATAATTATTTGACATTTGTTGTAAAATATAATGATAATATATTATAATTATTAACTATAAATAATTTTATTATTTGAACAAAATATATTTCTAATAAATAATGACCTAAATAATATATTTGACCATGTAATAATAGTTCTACAAATATAGAAACTGAAAAAAAGAAACCAGAGGTTTAAAAAGAAAAAAATGGAGGGACTTAGGGTGGGACTACAATCACTAAAAGGATTAGGGGTGGGATTACTACAGTAAATAAACAGTCCCACCCCCCCCCCGGGTTCTTTTAGTTTTTTTTTATAATATTTTATTTAAACTGCAAGTAAAATTAAAAAAAATATTATTTTTTATATTTTTCATATCTAATTTTATAATAATACATTAACACATATATATATATATAAACGAAAAAAAAACAAATAGATTGCAGGGGGAGCTGCCAGGGAAGGCCACGCTTGGGATAGTAAAAACTTCAGTTCTTTTAGGTTTTTTTACAATAATTGAACCGAATTGAGATGCGGACTCGAGTTTCATGTAACCAAATAATAATAATAATAATAATAACAACAACTTTGTAATTTTTTAAAATAAATTATGAATTAGTCCCTTTTATTTAAATATTAATTATTTAGTTTTTATGTTTTAAAATTTATTTTAATTTTCTATTTAAAAAAACAAGTGAAAAAATTAATGAGAAAAAAAATACAATAAAAAAATATTAAATTAATTATGATTAATATTAATTAAATAATTAAATAATAATTTTTAAAACAAGAATAACTAATTAAATTATTTCTTAAAACTAAAAAGATTAATTTATAATACACTCAAGTTTTTCTGAGTGGGAAGTGCTATTAATTCGGAAATATCAGTTTTAAATTATTTTCTGAATAAAATAATTAAAAAAAATAGTCACTTCACTCCAAATTAGACTCCGCTCCCTCAGAACTCTTTTAAAGCTAAAGAAACTGAGAATGACAATGGCGGTGTGGTCGCCCGACTTCACCAACGCCATCAAACAGCCTTTTAACTGTGTATGTCAAACGGAAAACTCCATGGCTAGCGAAACCAAATGCTGGGCCCGGCTGGCTTGACCATAAACAGAGAAAATGTGAAAGTGATCAGTGTAACAGTGTAAAGTACACAAAATATCTAAAAGAAGCAGCTCGTAATTCCAAACCTGATATTACTTTCACAAAACATACAAAAAAGCTTGTTTTGTTTATTTGTAAGAGAGTGTGCTAGGTTAATATTCCAAGAGAGTTCTGTTAATTTGCGTCTCCTTCTGGCAGCAAATATTTAGAAAAGGGTTCTGAAATTTTCTGTTAGGTGCTTGGCGATACAATACAGCTTTGATATGTTCATTGGGGAGCTGTGAAGGTCTAAATGTGCCGTTTCCTATACAAGACATGGCATCAGTTCTTAGTTCCTGGGTATTGCCTTATGTTTTTACAAATTCAGAGATCACGCCTAGGTTTCACGTGAGAGTTCAAAGTGTAAGTGGCGGTGACTCAAAAGGGTCGCCATCTGATTCCACTATGGTGAATGGAGCTTCTTTGATTCGAGAGAAAGAGAAACATGGGGTGTTGATTGATGGAGGCATAGGGGAGAAAGAGAAGACTGGGGGTCGGATTGATGCATGGAATGCGAGCTTAAAGTGTGGAGTTAAGAAAGGGTGCGATAAAGATGTTATTTCAAATGATTTAGATGTCTTGTGGGACGACGGTTATGGGACCAAGACTGTGATGGATTATTATGAAGAAGCCAAGGAAATTATTAGGCCTGACGGGGGCCTCCCCGGTGGTTTTGCCCTATTGATTGCGGCCTGCCTTTAAAAGATTCTCCAATTCTTCTGTTTTGCCCTGGTAATTATAAACCCTTAAGTTGAAATTTAACTTAGATGCAAGGTTTCCAAACTATGAATGTACGCACATTAATAGATGGACTAGATTTCTAGTTTCTGAGTATCTTGTTTCCAACGAGTTGTTTTGCTCTTCAATAATTTATTAAAATTTTTTGGACTTCAACATTTAGCTGTGTGATTTTGGAGATTTTTATTAAAAAAAATGCTGTTTGTTTTTGGTATTCGTGCATGCAGGGATTGATGGTGTTGGCTCGGCCCTGATTCTGCATCATAAAGCTCTTGGGAAGTAAGTTCTGTTGTTTCTACCTTCATGACGATTATGATGACTATTCTTATCGTTTTGGACTATCAACTTGTAAATTATTCATTGGAAATGTTGACGCAAAAGTTTGCTCAAATCACTTTGTGTGAGAACCTCAAATAGGTGCCCATCATGCTGGAAAGTTTGGTCATGCTCTGAGATGATAGTTCTCACAACCTACAATCACGAGTGTATGCTTTAAGCACATATGTAATCTGGACATGCATTCGAAAATAAGCTACTTATGTTTTAAGTCAAGGGCATTCCTTTTGTTGTGCTCATTTTCTTGTTATTTGTGCGCTGTGTTTTTCCGTGTGTTGTTTCTGGTCATCTTGTGGATTATAACCTGATAAAGTAGGATTATTATGAAAATTGGTCAAGGTTTCATTCTCTTAATTGTTTTAGTCAATGCACATTACTGATGATTGACATCCATATTTCATTCTGCTATTTTGGCTCAGCTAAATAGGTGGGCTTATACCTTAGAGTTTTGTCAAACTGCAGGGTCTTTGAAGTTCGGTGCCTTCATATTCCAGTGCATGATCGAACACCATTTGAAGGTTTTAGCCTTTAAGAGCTTCTCAATTCATCAGATTACTTGATTGAGTTATTTAACGGTCAAACTAAGATCTTGGCCAATTTGGTTGGCCTTTTCGTCTATTACAAGTTTTGATAGTTCAACAATGAAGTCATTACCATTTTGTACTTTTCTTTTTTAGCTTACATGGCAAAAATCATAATGTGTGAATAGATTTCTCAGAAATTTCATTTGTGGTGGTTAGATTTTCTAATTCTTCAGAATTGCCCTTTTGGTTGCATGTGCTGTTCTCTTCCACATCCCTTGTTTGGTTTTGCTGTCTGGGGATCCTCTTCCACTGATGACACGTCGTTATCTACCAGTGCTTTGACGGGATTTTTTTGCATGTGAAGGGCTGGTGAAATTTGTCGAAGAAACAGTGAGGCTTGAGCATGCCTCATCTCCAAATAAGCCAATTTATCTAGTGGGGGATTCCTTTGGGGGATGTCTTGTTCTTGCCATTGCTGCTCGTAATCCCGAAATTGATCTTGTAGTGATACTAGCCAATCCAGGTCGGTTTCCAGTTATGCTATATTTTGTTCACCCATGTTCTTGATGACTTCTTTATTGAAGACTTTGGTTGACAGTTCTTGCTGTTGTCTGACTTGTTAGCCCCTTTCTTTTAGCTACATCATTTGACAGGTCACAACTTCGGCCCCTGTTCCCTCTTCCGGAGACTTTGCCTGACGGATTGTACGATGCATTCCCCTATCTTCTTAGCTTTATTATGTGTATGTATGATCTGTTGCTCTCTAATTTCATTTATTATTATTTTGTTAAAAAAATTAGATTTATGTTACTACTTAAAACATATTTCAATACCTGTCATTGTATTAAACAATATGCTACTAGGATTTTTAAAACAAACAGACTTATCATGATTTTACTTCAGTTCTTCTACTCTGAAAAAAATTGCTTGGATCTCTTTCTTTGTTTTCAAATGCCTTACTATGAATGGTTCTTTTTCTGGCAGTTGAAACTTTCTTGAATAACATTTTACCGTCAGATATCTTGTTAAGCTAAATTGTCATCATTTACTGGAATTATTTTGTGATTTCAAATTGCTTCACTGTTGTTATTTTCTCTTTTCCTTACACTAGGTAATCCAGTGAAGATGGCAAGGGCCAATATTGAAAATAGACTACCTCCCAGAGTACAAACTGAGCAATTATTTCAGAATCTCATTGCTTTGATACCTTATCTTTCTGTAAGAAACGAAGAAGCATTCTAGTCTTTTATATGTTTTATTTTATTAAGTTTAAGAAACCAATATATATGCAGTAAGATTTTATATACTTTACAATATATTATTTTGATATAACATGCCAAAGATCTTAAACCTGCGTGGATAGATGTAATATTGCTGTGAAAATGATTCTAATAGGCAAATGCAGGAAGGCTTGTGTATAGTCATCTGCTGCACCCCTGCATCTAATCTACTGTTTCTTGAAAAATTCCCCATTATATACTTGCATCTTCTGCGTTCTTGATTATGACTCCATTGCTTGCGCAATATGCTCCTACACGGTGTCTAGCAATGACAAACTAGATTTCTCAAGGTTGCTGCTTGTCCTCGTCAGCCAATGGTGCGGCATAGTTATAACAGTTATTTTAGTTTTGATGCTAGCTGTCGCACATACTCAAATTTGCAGAGACAACGGCTAGTAAGATAGATCAATTCTTCATGTGCATTCAGCCTGTTGTCCTGCCATTCTATTTTTCCAAGGATGCAGAAACGGATGTTAACATCTTCATTTTCAGGATCTGGTTGATATAATTCCAAAGGACACTCTTATTTGGAAGTTGAAACTGCTCAAATCAGCTGCTTCTTATACTAATTCCCGGCTTCATGCTGTGAAAGCTGAAGTGCTAGTCCTGTCAAGGTCTTTATTCTCCCTGGTTTAATTCTTGTCCTTTGCACATCCCCAGGCACAATTTTATCGCTTCCCTTTGCATAGTGTCTATGTTTTTCAAAAGCTCTTTATAATTTTTTTCTCTACTTCTTTCTATGTTGTGATTTTAATCATGCATATCTCTAATTGCTATTCTATGTTACACGTTTTTTTTCTATAGAAGTGACATAGTGGATGGGAAATTTAACAAAGCAAACAAAAAAGCAAGTTTAGCATGCTGCTCTAATAATTTTCCACCAGCATTGTTCTCTTTCTCTCACCCTCATGTGGCCGATAGCTAGTATATTTAAGTTGCATTATCGTTTACACAAGCCACGTTAATGCATACCTTAAAAGAAGCTCTCTCTCCAATGACCTTATAATCACTGAAGGTTCTTTGCTTCATATTTGCACTCTCTTAGTTGCTACCATGAAGAGTGACAGCTTTTAGTTACAGAATACGCATTCCAGGCCTGTCAGCACGAATTGGAAAAATTGAACTCATATATGTTATGTAATTGTTTTAACATAAGTTATGCCGTAACCTGCTACGAAATATCCAATTAGTAAGTTAGGTTAACATATGTATGTATTGTAGGACATATGTTCTTTAGCCCAAATTTCTTCTCATGCTTGACTTCTCTGAGATGCAGTATAGAATTCATGTCAAGGAGTATTAAAGTTGATCTTGTATTTGTCTTTTAGTGGAAATGATTACATGCTTCCTAGTGGAGATGAAGCTCAGCGTCTGAAAAGTTCAATAGAGAATTGCACAGTTCGTTATTTCAAGGACAACGGGCATACCATTTTACTGGTATGTGACAATAAGTGGTTGTATCGATATTTGTTTCAGAATTTAGTGGAAGCATGTATATGTGGGTATCTTAGATGATGTGTGATGCTTCTCAATTCTTTTTGGAATCCTTCAAGTTTCAACACGTCAAAATTCTCAATCTGTCGAGTGCAAATCAGCATCTTCATCTTAGCTATTGAGTTGAGTAAATATATCATCCTGTTAACCGACCAGAGTCAGTTGTATGTTAACTGTCTATCATGCATACCAGATCCAATGATTCTTTCAACATGGTGATTGGGAATGAAAGCCCATTCTCCTGTGCTCTGAAACTCCAAAGCAGTTTCAGAAAATAGTCAAATCTTAAGAAACCACCGAGGAAGCCTGGTAGCCTGCCCACCAGCAGATGATTATGCCTTTTTGAATAAGCTTGAGTGTATCTGGAAGACTTAAGGTCTCAAATTTCAATCACTTCCCTTTCAAAATTCAGACAGTGGGTTATCTCCTAGATATAAGGATGCCGATGATTATCCTTTCTGACTTTCTTTTTGTGGAAAAATTCAGAAAGTATTTCTGTTTTGCTGCATTTGAACTATAGTTGTGGAGTTACATCTTTTTGGACACGTAATAACATGTCTTTCCCTACAAAGCACTTGCATGACACCTTTTATTCTATGTTGACATGGCATGATAGTTGTAATTGCATCTAATGTTCTGACATAAATGCGGCCATGGTCTAACTTTGGGAAGATTGAGCGTGTTTAGGGGAATGTCTTATTTTCAGGAAGCACTCCTTCCTTTGGTTTCCATTTTGATAACAATTTCTCCTATGCAGAATGAATAAAAATGGTTTTTTCGTTCTTTGACCTGTGTTATTAATACACATAAAAACTTCTAATATTTAGCTGGTACATTGAGCAATGTTATATTCATAAGAAAGGACTTTAATACTCCTCACCCTGTCTTGCTAATCTGTCATGTATTAGGTCACTAGCATTAATTTGTCTGTACTCACATTCTCAGGATGAGGCTTTCAGTCTTTAATTTCTGTCTATGGCAAGACAGATTTATAACTGGTTTTCTCCTGTTTCTTTTCTTGGCTGTGATGGTACAGGAAGATGGTGTTAATTTGCTTACTGTTATTAAAGGTACTGGCAAATATCGTCGTTCAAGGAGGATTGATTTTGCCTCAGACTTTGTTCCACCAAGCATTTCAGAATTCAAATACGTATATGATATAATTGGGTAATTCGGCAGAGCAATTTCATACGCAGAGCTTCTTAATTGTCACATATAGTTTCTTAGTGAAGACTTCTGAATTTGAACCTTGATCTACCATACTTAGATCTAAGATTAAGACTTAAGTTTATGCCTAATTTTAAAACGAGACCGCATCGATTTGATCCTGGTCAAGCTAGAGCCTCTTTCTCATTATAATCTGACATGCTGCTAGTTTTTTGCAATGTGCATCAAGCAGATTCCTCCTAATCTCTAAACACTTCCTGCTCTTATTCTTTTTCTTTTGATTTGTCTAAATCATGGTTCTAATTATAACATCCTCTTCCACAAAAAATTGATTGCTTTGAGAAAGTCTATTGGAATCTCAGGTTGGTCTTTTTTAATTTCTCACATCTTACAAGCATATATTCTTTAACTAAGGTAATGCCTAAAAGAACAAGTGTAATATAGTATTGCTCTCTCCCATTCCTTCTCCCTCTTTTCTGTTGATCTTTTCCTGTTGATGTTAAATGGATTCATTTCATTATTACAGAAAACTATGAAATGAAAAGGGAAATCCTCCTAAAGTTATTGGAAATCATAGTTATGTTAATTGATCATGAAATGTGGATCGGGGTGACTCCATGCCTCCTAGGGGTTTACTGCAGCTTGATACTTCCTGCCGAGGCTTTGGCTCAATGCCAGCCTAAACAGCTAGTCTAAGTAGCATTCCAGCGCATATATTTGTCTACCTACGGCTCAAGATTATATCACATCGCTTGAATTTCAGGTTTTTACGCTTTGCCATTGGTTCTGTCATGTTCTCAACATTGAATGATGGAAAGATAGTGAAAGGTCTTCATGGGGTTCCAAATGAAGGTCCTGTCTTATTAGTTGGCCACCACATGTTGATGGGACTTGAACTTTATTCCCTTGTCCCAGAATTCTTGAGAGAGAAAAATATTATGGTTCGTTGTGCAATGCATCCAGTTGTACTGAGAGGAAGGCAGAAGGCTTCATCTCCTGAATTTTCTTTAGCTGATTGGATGAAAGTAATGGGCGCAGTACCTGTCACAGCCAGCAATCTTTTCGAATTGCTGTCAACAAAATCTCATGTGCTTCTTTATCCTGGAGGTGCTCGGGAAGCCCTTCATCACAGGGTATGCCAAGTTCCTTGTGTTAATTTCAACAAATTTATTATTATTATTATTTGCATGCTGAAAATCATATTTTTTAAGTATCATTTTCCTATCATCGAAGTATCTGCTTTAGTTCTTTGTTGCAAATGAAATGTTAGCAAGAGGATATAGTGTAAAAGTTTTGGAAATCATTTCTTATATTCAGAGTGTTATTGCAGCCATGGGTGGTAGACTACTGTTTAGCACTTCATACATGTAAGTGGGTTGTATTTTCTTGCTATAATCTTTATGGCTGATGCCTTACCACCACTATTGTCAACAACACCAGTATCACCTCCAGGACTGCATAGACCTTTTTTCCCCCATCAAAAGCACCATATTCGTGTCCCTACCAAAACTTTATTATAACAGTAGCTTCATCTTCATCTTTTCTCTTTTACCATCACACACTATGTTTCTTCTAACCTTATTATGTTGCTGCTGGTGCCATCAGACCACCTATTTCAGATATTGAAAAGTTCTTTGGTTATCAAGTAACTAAAACAATAAGAAGCGGAATTCAAGTTTCTGTGGTCATTAGTTTAGACTCTTACAGAATTGTAAGACTTCAAAGTATTGGAACTAGGATTTGTATGGCTTCGTTGTTATAATGCCATTATATTCGTATGGCTGCCCAAGCACAAATCTTTCCCTTTTCTGAAGTGGTTTTTTGCTCATTCGCTTTTCTACTGGTATAACCTTCAATTCAATTGCATGTGTGTATATATATAAAATAAATAGAAAAAAGATTCGAAGTGTCTTTTGCACTTTATGCCATTGATGCTACTAACATTTATAACCTGATAGGCCATTGACTTCATCCTTACTAATTTACAAAGAAAAATTGAGGTGAATAAAGGATATTTTACAGGAGTCACTCTTGTGCTGTGAAGTATTTTAATGTAACCTTCTTCTTGAGATTTATAAATGTATTATTTATGCTTTTTATCCATCAAAAGGTTGGTTCTTTTCTATTACAAAGCTTTTGCAATTTACAGGGTGAAGAATATAAGCTGATTTGGCCTGATCAACAAGAATTTGTGAGAATGGCAGTAAGGTTTGGGGCTACAATTGTACCATTTGGAACTGTAGGAGAAGATGATATAGCAGAAGTAAGACCCTTTTTTTTGCCACATAATTCTTATATTTTTTACTTGAATCCTTATTCTGTTGATCCATTATTCTTTGCTGTGTTATTTCCACAAGATTTGTTTACCTCAAGGGCTTGTACAAAAGTAGAAAAAACCATCATGTTATGGCCTTGAGGTAGCTATCCCTTGTACGTGCTCGAAGCAGAATTATGGATGGACCAGATTTGTCAGAATGCCACGTTATCTCAGAAAATTGGCAAATAAACCTGGTAGATTTAGCATTTTCTGTGTTTATTATTATGCAAGTTATGCACTGTATAAGTCCCAAAGTCTGGTTGAGATGTGCATTTCTGATACTTTCCACTTACACTTTTGCTCCTCTCCGAAGAGTTCTATAAACTTTCCCTTTCCTCCTTATTCGAGCGTATGCTTGCAATCAAATTTATCCACATTTTATTTTTAAAAAAATCTTTTGTTTGGATTTTTCAGTTGGTTCTTGATTACAACGACTTGATGAAAATCCCAGTGGTTAATGACTACATCAGAGACACTAATAGGAATTCTACAAGAATAAGGTGATTACTCTCCCTTTCACTCATTGCATGGTTGTAGGAGTCATGTTAACATACGAATCTAGAGCTACTTTTAGATACATTTGTGCTGACAGAGAATTTTATGTATGCTTGTAGGGATAAGAGTAAAGGAGAGGTTGCCAACCAAGAACTATATCTCCCAGGTATTCTGCCAAAGGTGCCTGGCCGATTCTATTTTCTGTTCGGAAAGCCTATTGAAACAAAGGGCCGAAAAGAGATACTTAAAGACAGAGAAAATGCAAACCAGTTATACCTGCACGTAAAATCTGAAGTTGAACGTTGTATTACTTATCTGTTGAAGAAAAGGGAGGAGGATCCTTATAGGAATATCGTTGATAGAACAATTTATCATGCTTTACATTCTCCTTTGCATGAAGTTCCTGCATTTGACCCTTAGAAAATGGCCAGAGTCTCACTGCAGCCTTCCCTTGATTCGAATCCGAAATGATAAACGTACCAACATTTTCTCAGTACTGCACCTTGTCTATGTTTCTCCTTCCAGAACTTGTAGCAGGTCGTAATAGGCTGGGCCATATCTTGTGTAACGTCTTTGGAAGCAGAAAGCTCAACAAAAAGATAAGGCCAAGAATGTGGCACGTTGCCTTCTTTTTCATATATCTTCCTTCTTTGGTTGTAGCCTTGTAGCCAAAAAGAGTATTGCTTTCAAAAGCCATCGTGCACTTTCTAGTAAGCCTGATTACCTTGTGGAAAATGGCTTTATTCAACCACTCTTTGAATGGGTAATGGGCTGTTCTAGTTATAAATTAAACACAGTTTTTCACCTTCCTTTCCCTTTTTAATTTGTTCTGCAATCTTATTTCCTGTTACTTATTATTCAAATGGTCCAACATTTCCCTGATTAAATTTGATAGTGCTCCTGATTATCATAGAAGACGCGTAATTATTGTCTAATCATTTTTTCTGAACCGAAATTAGTGATTAATCATGACTATCATCCATGCAGTTTATTTATTTTTTGATGCTTAGGATACTTCCAAACTAGTTTACGTATTCTTTTTAGATAGTTTTAAGGCCGCAAGCATTCAAGAGAATAAATTTCCTTAGATGCAAATATCTAAAGTTCAATCTAGAAAGTTAAAAAGGAGGAAACAAACTTTCTTGACTCTTAACCTACGTCTTAGAATTATCAACTTGCCGAGATAGGAGAATAATGATACCGGCAATTATATGAGTGGTCATTTTCAAAGAAAAAACCAAAAAGGGCAATGATATAAGTGGTGGTGAACTCCATACCTTTCTTTCCTTTTTCTTCTTCTTCTGCTATTATTTGCTTTTATAGTTCCTTAGCAATTTTACATTTCTCTCTCTCTATTATTTTCCCGGCAGGCTATACTCAAATCATTTCAGTACAAAATTTCTTTTTCACATTAAGGAAAAAAAGATTGCTGAGAAATAAGCTAATTTTTTTTATCCTTTAAGATATTTCAAATCCAAAGATTAAGATTAATCTTTCACTGTTTGTTTAGATACATTAACAAAAAAATAATTATTTAAATTTTATTTCTATATGTATAAAAACTTGAAATTCAAAATTATTTATTTAATCGATTAGAATGTATTTGGTTCAAACTAACCATCTTGAATAGAATTAAGCTCATTTTACAACTTGGGTTAACACCTTAAGGTTATTTTAGCGTTGGATGGTTTATGAGATGACGAGTTTTGTACACTGAAATTGTCTTTTTAACTGTATCAACAGCAAATTATCAATTGAATTTGGCTTGTGATGAATTTACGTACCTAAATAATGTGACACCAGCTATAAAATGCTTGTGTCGTGACTCTGAGATAGTGACTATCAATTTGTGAACGTGGACTCATGGTGAGTCGAACTCAGTGCAATGATTTTTCTTAAGAGTATTATCGTGATATCCAGAATAGTGCATGCAAGAAATTATTTTTCCTAATGATCTCCTTTTTATTTCCAAGGCCAGATAATAACAGGAGTACTAAACCCACCCACCAATCCTAACTCAAAACCATGGCCCCACATTACCAAAACTATCTAAGCATCTTTAGATGGATTTGCTGTCAGTACTGCATGGTCAAGAAAGTGAAGCATGTTACATGTTGTGGCCGGACCATAACCAGAGAAAAGGGTGGTTCAGAAAATGTGAAGTGGTCCGTACAGCGATCAGAAAAGGATGACCACTCATATGTTTACAAGAGCAGGTAATTTAAAAAAGCGTACCCCTAAAATCCAAAACATAGATAGTTGCTTGCCAATGTTGTCATTTATTGTCTTTCATTTTCGCCATAAATAATATTCCTGATTTTACTTTCTCACTTATGGCCGTTATTTCTTTTCTTTTTTTTTTTATATTTTATATATGATATGCAACCAAGTACATGCTCTAGAAGCTATACAAGTCATTTTGCTTTCTGGGTTTGCTTTTTGGTAAAAATCTTGTGAACTGGTCCGTACTTGAAAGAAGGTTTCATGCTGTTGTTCACTTGGTAAAAATCTTGGTTTGAAAAAAGGTCTAAATGTTCATGTAAGAGGCGTCCTTTTTTTCAGCTGGAGTGTTTAGAGAGCAGTCTTGAGTTTTGTTTTTTTTTTTTTGGTCCCAGGGGTTCTTTGCAAGCGTTGGTAGGACTTGAAAAGTGTCCCAAGTTTCTTAATTGCTATGAAAGTCCCAAGTCGGTCGGTTGGTGAATCGAGTTCAGAATTATATGCAATAGTGTGTGAATGATAGGTTAGCATTCCAAAAGAGTTGTGTTTATTTGAAGCTGGTACTTAAAAACGGTAGTATAAAGTTGCTTGATAGTAGCCATTAGCTTTAAGCTGTTCTTTGGAATTTGTAAAGTGTCTTTTACTCCTACTGTCTGCCATACTTATACAAGCCATGGCGTCGGTTGTTACGTCCTTGGTATTGCCCTATTTTGTGACGAATTCGGAGGTTAAGCTTAAGCCCCGAGTGAGAGTTCAAAGTTCAGGCGGTGGCGGCAAGTCAGATATATTATCTTCTGATTCAATTCGGGTGAATGGAACTTCTTTCACTGAAGAGAAAGAGAAGAACGGGGCTTTGCTTGATGGAGTCATCAGGAAGAAAGAGAAGGGCGACGATGATATGATTGATGGAAAAAAATGGAGGTTAAAGCATACTGGAATTGAGAAAAAGTGGGTGAAAGACGTTGTTTCAGATAACTTGGAAGTTTTGTGGGACGATGGGTACGGGACCAAGACTGTGAGAGATTATCTTGAAGAAGCCAAGGAGATTATTAAGCCTGATGGTGGGCCACCCCGGTGGTTTTGCCCTGTTGACTGTGGGCAGCCTCTAAAAGATTCTCCGATTCTTCTGTTCTGCCCTGGTAATTGTTGATCATTATGATATTTAACTCTGCATAAAGGTTTGCAGATGGAGAACGCATTAATAGAGTGGTTTTCAGGACTCAATGAGTTCTTATGCTCTTTAGTATTTGATTTAATATGTTGTTGATTCCTCTTTTGGCTGCATGAGCTTGGCAGATTTTAGAATGCTGAAAGTGTTTTTTTTAATGTATATGCAGGGCTTGATGGTGTTGGCTTGGGCCTTACTTTGCACCATAAAGCTCTTGGAAAGTAAGTTTCTGTTATTTCTACTTCCATAACAATTATGATGACTGTTACGGGCTTTTTTATTTATTTATTTGGGGCAATCATATTCTTAAACTGTTCATTGAAATGATGACAGCAAATTTTTGCCTAAATGATATTGCGCGAGAACTTTTAATTGGTGGCCACTACCCTGGAAAATTTTGGCTCTGGTCTGAACATGGTTTTCGAAACATCCTTTTATTGTCATTGGAATATTTTCCACTGAAAACTCACATTACGAGGGCATAGCTTCTATATATCCATCCTCTGTTCTGAGACCGCACGAACTGCTTTAGATCTGTTGCATTCAGTTTTAAAAATAAAGCCAGTAAAAAATGTATGCTTTTGTGCATGTTCGATCCGAATTGACAAAGGACATATCTATATGTGTTTGTCTCTCCTCTGGATGCCCTTTCTCATTTGTGGCATGCATTATGCATGTCTGATTTCTGCTACTGTGTGGATACTGTCTTTTGATTACTTTATCAATGTTGTGTAATTAATAAACATAGAAATTTCAATTTGTTGTTCTAGCCAATGCTCATTATGATGCTTGCGCTTCATGTTTTGTTCTGGTATTTTTTCTCTGCTAAATAAATTACTTGTAACTTAAGAGTTCTGTCCAATTTCAGGGTGTTTGAAGTTAGGTGCCTCCATATTCCTGTTTATGATCGAACACCATTTGAAGGTCTTAACCTTTCTGAGCCTCTAATTCATGAGACTGTACTTTCTTTAGTTATATGATATTTAATCTGAGTTCCTCAGCAAAATGAAATGTTGACTTATATTTTTCTTTGATTGTGATTTTTGCTGTGAACTGATTGGTGAAACAAACTGCTTTACTTATAAACTGAACTAATGATTTGTGCTTTTTATGGATGCATATAACTATTTTAATTGCTTGCATGTTTTAATTTTTAAATGTTCATTTTCCATGTTGAAACAAATTGCTTGCGTGTTATAGCATTTTAAGCTATGTTCATCCTGCAGATGTTGATGATGTGAAATTATTTCAGTCGAATAAAAACAAATAACAAAAGTTTAATTAATGGTGGCAATTGAGGAAAAGCTATTGCAAAATAAGCAATAACCCAAGAGAAATTACCTACTAAATTTGTTGATTTGGTGCACTTTCTCAAACTTCCAGGAATTATATGTTATTTTCTCATTAAAGAACAGTTCCAGAGAAGTAGCGTTTAGATAAGATGGTTGACTGGTTAGATTTTGTCTTGAGCCCATCAGCCTTTGGCTGGCCTGTTGGTGTTTATTTTACCGTTATCTCTTCTATTCTGGGTTTTAATAGTTTGGCTATCAAGTCATTTCCATTTTATCTTTTATCCGAGATACTTGAAGTGATTATGTGTGAATAGAATTCTTGAAATTTTTGTTTGTAATTGTTAGATCTTGTAGTCCTTTCATAATTTCCATTTTCAATTGCATGTGTGGCCCTCATCCTCGTACCTTTGAAGTTAGGGTCTCCTTCAATCAATGTAACATTTTTTTTATGCATCTGTAACTGGGATTTCTGTTGTATGAAGGTCTGGTGAAATTTGTTGAAGAAACAGTGAGGGTTGAGCATGCCTTGTCTCCGAATAAGCCAATTTATCTGGTGGGGGATTCCTTTGGAGGTTGCCTTGCTCTTGCTGTTGCTGCTCGTAATCCTGAAATCGACCTTGTGTTGATACTGGCAAATCCAGGTCAGTTTCCACATATAATAGTAATCCATTCACCCATATCCTTGATGAATTTCTGATTGGAGACTTCCGTCGAGGCTTCCTGTGGTATTCTGACATTTTAGCCTTTTGTTTTAGCCACATCATTTGCCAGGTCACAGCTGCAACCCATGTTCCCTATTTTGGAGGCTTTGCCTGATGAATTACATGATGCTGTCCCCTATCTCCTTAGCTTTGTTATGGGTACATGACCTCTTGCTTCTTAATGATACTTGTTCATTTGTTTATTTTGTTACGAAAGCATATCTGGATGCTACTACTAAGGCATGTATTTCACGAGTTTTGTCCCCAACATGTTAAATTCACTACCAGGATTTTTTAAATGAAGAGCTGTCATGATTTTCTTTAGTTCTACTACTCTCAATAATTTTGCTTGAATTTCTTTACTGTCTTTTTTATGAATAAGATCACACAAGTTTTCCTTTTTTGTTTGTTTGATAATTATTCTGTGACTAAATTTCATATTCTTGCTCTAAGGAAAGGAGGGTTAGGACTTACGCATTGGTTGCTGCTTCATCTAGATCTACAGGAAAAGCTTGAAAAGAAGGGTTGATATGCATCTTGTTGTGCTTGATTGATGTACCTGAAAACCTGAACTGTTTGATCCTTTAGAGGTGATCCGTGGGGAAGGTAGAGAAGTAGCTCTCTATTCTGAACCCCTTGATTGCAGGGTAGCTGCTGCCTTTCTCTGCATCATGATTTTTTAGAATAGTTTGGTGATAAAGCATTAAGTTTAGTTAAAGTTCTCTGAAAGAATTGCATCAGAACCTGGAGATAGGTGACATTTTGTCCAATTATAGATGTTGTAGTGTGGCTAGTGAACTGAAAACGTTTAAGCTCGGTGCCTTTCTTCTGAATCATTAACTTTGTGCTCCTGTGTAAGGTTTTATACCCTGGTAGTTAGACAATGAAATGGGGAATTAGCATTTTATGAATGGTGTTCCATTTCACTTGTGGTTTTCATTGCTTTCTTGGCTCCTAAACATTTTCGTTGTATCGATCTGTGGTTTTTCTTTTCTCCTCTGGCTATTTTGATTTCTGTTAAGCTTTAATTATTATTGTTAAATTGTATTTTTGCAACCGAAAATTAGTTTGCTAGCGCTAATTTTTCTTTTCATGACACCAGGTAATCCATTAAAGATGGCAATGGTCAATATTGACTCTAAGCTTCCTCCAGGATTACGAATTGAACAATTGTCTAACAACCTTACCGCTATGCTACCTAGCCTTTCTGTAAGAATTAAGAGAGCACTGCCTAGCCTTTAGACTTTTTATTTTGTTCTCTCAAAGGGAGAAAAAAAAAAAAAAGATACGAATTTTATTTGCCTGGTCGATTAACTACTTCTACTGGCAAAATGAAAATTTACACGAATGCAGGAGGTTGTAGAGCAGTATTATTTTTCTCAAGCCCTTACCCCAGCTCTCCTATTTCTCATTGTATACGTATCTGATGTAGCATTTTTACATAAGTTGGTTACCGAGCCTCATGTCCCTAAACTTGAAAATCCAGACGGCAAACTGAATAAATACACCTGTCTGTGCTTCATTCTGTTTCAGATAGCAAAGACTGCTAACATGCATCCTTTGAAAATTGATGGCTTGTGTAACATTTTGGATGGCAATAAACAAAACCTAAATATTTGATTTCTTGACCTGAATGGATCAATCTGATTGTAAATTGAGAAATAGCCCGGGGGTTATGTAGCTATAGAGGTGTTGAGGACGCTTCCAATCTAATTTGTTATTTTTTATATTCCCAAGAGCATGCTGGAGATCTTAAGCTTTCATGTAAATATGTAATTGTCAATCATAGCGATGCTATCTAATATACAAAACTAAGATTGGTTTGCTATGACCTACTGTGTGGCCATGTCTAATCAATGTATCACAATATGCACTCTGACTTTATTCTAAGATATTAATTTGCTACAATATGCTTTGCACTTTCTCTTTAACCTTGATTATGATTCCATGTACTAGCACTCTACCATAAAGCTCTTGTACACAGGATCTAACAACCACAAACTAGTTCTTCTCAGTCAATGATACAATACTCTTATTTAAGTGTCCCAAGTTGATTTCAATAAATGATGCTACCTTGCACACATACACACACTGACGAAGCCAATAGGTGATGGATAGGACTTCTTTTTGATATAGTTAGGAGCTTTATTTGGTGTAAATGAAATAAATCGGCTCTGTATATGCATTCAGCTTCTTGTCTGATTATTCTGTTTTCCATTTCAGGGTTTAGCTGATATCATTCCAAAGGACACTCTTCTGTGGAAATTGAAACTGCTCAAATCAGCTGCTGCCTATGCCAACTCCCGGCTTCATGCTGTAAAAGCTGAAGTGCTAGTGCTCTCAGGGTCTTTACCCTCCCTAAATTTGTTTGCTAGTCTTTTTTATATCATGACTTTATCACTAATCATGCTGCATCAAAAATTACTTTGGCTACATTACACGTTAGTGATTTCCACGTAGAAGTGAATGTGCGTAGTAGACACTAAACTTGATTTTTAATTAATTAATGATGGTGTAGAACCCCAAGAGTAATCTTGTTGATATTTTGAAAGTTAAGCAAGGAAAGAGAATCTATCGTGATGCCTGAATTTCCCACCAGCGCAGTTCTCTCTCTCTTCCTCTCCCCTGTACTTGTCTCTATTGCATGATTTGTTTGCTATTTTGAAGGGATGTGTTTTATTTGTTTCCTTCACAGTTTTTTCTGATTAGAGAATGAACTTTGAAAACTTAAACAGCATGGAATTGATTAAGTTATAGTCATATATGTGATTATAATTGCTCTAGCACACCTTTATGCTGTAACTTGCAATGACCTATCTGATTATTATGCTAGGATCATGGAAGCACGTTTTGGAGGAACGTGCTGCATCATTGATCCAAATTTTCTTCTCTTGTTTGATTTTCTTTGAAATGTCATAGGCAACTCAGTTTTGACTCAGCAAATCCGTTCCTTTTTTTTTTTTTCACTTTTGTAGTGGCAATGATTACATGCTTCCTAGCGGAGATGAATCTCAGCATCTGAAAAGTTCCTTAAAGAATTGTACTGTTCGTCATTTCAAGGAGAATGGGCATACCATTTTATTGGTACGTGAGAAAAACTGGTTGCATTAGAAATTGTGTTTGAATTGTGCAGAAGTGTGTATAGATGTTGCACTGCTGTTCCTTGGCTCTTACATTAAATGTGGTCTCCAACAGTGTATATTAGCATGTGAGTATCATATTTCCAAGTTGGTTTCCGTCTGCCATCCATGTATGTTCTGGCCTTCGCTTTTTTGCCGCTCCTCTTACACCTCAGTTTAGCGAAGGTTCCCCACATGCATGATGAGTTGAATGCTTTCCTCATACTCTCTTTATTACTAAAATGTTCATGGTAAAGGCCTTTACTGCTCCTCTCCATATGTTGTTATTGAATCATATGTTAGGCCAATAATATTGTTGTATGCATAACTTGTACATTTTATATTCTTGGAAATGAATGCTTCCACTCTTTACCATGAGAATACAGATTACTGGCAGGTTTCCCCTTTTCCTTCTTCCTTATTTTCCCTCTCTCCGATGCTACAGGAAGATGGTGTTAATTTGCTTACTATTATTAAAGGAACTAGCAAATACCGTCGCACAAGGAGGTTTGATTATGTCTCGAACTATGTGCCACCTAGCATTTCGGAATTCAATCGTGCATTTGAAGAAGTAGTTGGGTAATTCAGCAAAGCAACTTGTTACACGTAGTTTCTTAATTAACACTTCTGAGAATGCTACTTGATCCACCTTATTTGGATCAAATATAAGGACTTCTGTTTGTGGTTAAATTTAAAATGAGACCTTGGGGACTTGATCCTGATCAAGCCTGCGCATCTATCTGCATCCCTCTCTTAAATTTGTCCATTTCTTTTGCCCCTACTCATTTGATATTGTTAAACATTGATTCTCATAACTTATGCAAAGATATGATTCCTTTGGGAAAGTTAATGATTGGAATCTTAGGTTGGTCTTGGTTGATATCTCCCATCTTAAGGTGATTCTAAAGTAATCTAGTGTGTATGATATGTAGTGTGGCTGTCCACCCCCTTCCTTCTCTCAATCTTTCTTGTAATGTTCTCATGTGATGTCAACACATAGTTGCACAAAGTTGTTAACAGTTAAAAAGTTCATTTCATTGTTACAGCTAAAACAGTGAAGCCAAAAGGAAAATCCCACTAACGTTCTTGAAAAACATATCCATGTTTAGAGTTATTTGATCAAGGCATATGATAGGGTTAACTCAATAGGGACCTTGAAGTAAAACCCTCGCTTGATTCTCCCAGTTTTAACTTGGCAGCATCTTAGCCTAAATTGCTAGTTTACTTCATCTAGCTGAACTCAAGCTTATATGTACTCGCATAAATTTCAGACTGTTGCGCATTGCCTCTGGTTCTGCTATGTACTCAACTCTGGAGGACGGAAAGATTGTGAAAGGTCTTGGTGGGGTTCCAAATGAAGGTCCTGTCTTATTGGTTGGCTACCACATGTTGATGGGACTTGAACTTTATTCCCTTGTTGAAGAATTCTTAAGAGAGAAGAATATTGTGGTTCGTGGTACAGCGCATCCGATGCTATTTACAGGGGAGCGAAATGTTTCATCTACAGAATTTTCTTTATCTGATTGGATGAAAGTAATGGGAGCAGTACCTGTCACAGCAAACAATGTTTACAAATTGCTGTCCACAAAATCACACGTGCTTCTTTATCCTGGAGGTGCACGCGAGGCCCTTCATTACAAGGTATGCCCAGTTCCCCTTGTTAATTTCAAGGTTTTCACTAAGCTTAAAATCGTATATTTTGGTTGTCATTTTTCCGATTTCTATCAAATATCTTCTTGGTTTCATTGTCCCAGATGAGAGGTTAGTAAGCAGATGTAGGGTGAAAATTCGGGAAATCTATTTTTTTAATATTCACAAAACCGTTGTTACTTTGCATCCATGGTGGTAGACTAGTAGTTTAGCACTTTCATACATGTAAGTGGTTTCTTGCTCTTGCTGTAATCTTCATGCTGACATTTCACTACCACTGTCACCTAAAGAACCAGAATTTCCCAGGCCGCCTTGAATTCCACTATGCTTTCCCATTGTTGTTCCTACCAGAAGTTTTATTATTACGAAAAAGCTTCATACAAGGGCACTGGTTTTCGTATAATCACACTGCTGCTCTTACCTGCACAAATTATTTGGTCTTTTGACTTGTTATGGTACTGCCAGCGCCACTAGCACCTCCAATTTCGTACTTGACAAATTCTCATGAACTTTCTCCTGTTGTCGCGACTTATTTTTTGAGTGACTAAACTAATAAGAAATGAAATTGAAGTTTGTGTGATTATTATTTTTTAGATTGTACAAAAAGTTAAAACTCAGATGTAGGATTTGATCACTCCAGTGGCTTCCATGTTAGGAACTTGCAAATGTTGTGGTTTGTAACAGTGATGAGAGCGCAGGCTCCTGATCTTGGCAGTGAGGTATCTGTTGTTGTCGAGGTTTCAGCTTCTTTTTGAAGAGATTTTATTAGGTTACTCTAGGTTGCAGCCAATTGTTATTTGGTTTGATGCCCCTTGGATGAGATATTTTGTGGATGTATTGCTCAAGTCATTTCTGATTTGCTGTTTTGCATGGATTGATTCACACAGATGTAGGTGGGATGGGGCACATAAACGGCAAACTAGTTGAAATTCTCAAAATATTTGTCCCTGAAATTTCCTGGCAGCAAAATTTTTTAAAATTGTTAAAGGAGGCAGGCAAATAAAGAATGCCAAGAGTACAATTTAATCCATATGATATTGGACTTATTTACAGATTCCTATACTGAACTTTGAATTTGCATCATTGAAGTTGAAAGTTTATTTGTGTTTCTGCATCTTTTTCCACTTTTTTTATAGTCATTGTGTGATTTATAGGGTGAAGAATATAAGCTATTTTGGCCTAAACAACAAGAATTTGTAAGAATGGCGGCCAGGTTTGGAGCCAAAATTGTACCGTTTGGGGCTGTTGGAGAAGATGATATAGTAGAGGTAAGCTTGTGCAAATTTTTCCCCAGAAATTTCACAGCTTTAATTTCTATACCTTTTTTCTGATGGTTGGAGCATGTATATTTCATTGGTATTTGAACTAGCTAGATCTTCCAATAAATACATTCTTCGCATTCTTTTTCTAGCTGTCTTTACATTTTGTAGATTATTTCTTATCCTCAAATAAAATGTTTCTTTGGAATTTCCCAGAATGATAAAGCCTTTATTATGATATTGTCACATTCATCATAATTTGCACTTGAAATTCTTGAACAGTCACAGTATGTCGCCTAAGTATTCACTGGTGGTATCAGACATAATGTGTCAAACTACTACATTATATCCGGCAGGTTTTGTATGAGAACAAATTTTGTAATTTACAATTTCGATATTTCTTTATCATGCAAGTTATGCTTGCAGAATATGGGCATCTCAAATAATATTTTTCACTAAGATCTTTTGGTACTTTCTAAAGAGCTCTATGGAATTTCCCTTTGTTCCTTATTTGAACTTAAGCTTGCAATCATTCTTATACTGTTTTATTTCATTCTTTTCAAAATTCTTTCTGTTTGGATGTTGTAGTTGGTTCTTGATTACAATGACTTGATGAGAATTCCAGTGGTTAATGATTACATCAGAGATGCTACTCGTAATTCCATAAAAATAAGGTGATTACTCTCCATGCAATGATATTTACTCTTGTTACATAGTCGTAAAAGCATGTTAACGTAAGATGCTGGCTCCCTTTTGATACATTTGTGTTGACAAATTATATGATGTGTCTATAGAGACGAGAGTCAAGGGGAGGTCGGCAACCAACAACTATTTATCCCAGGTCTTTTGCCAAAGGTACCCGGCCGCTTGTATTTTCTGTTTGGAAAGCCTATAGAAACAAAGGGAAAGGAAGAGGTACTTAACGACAAAGAAAACGCAAACCAGCTATACTTGCACATAAAATCTGAAGTTGAAAGCTGTATTGCTTATCTGTTGAAGAAGCGAGAGGACGATCCTTATAGGAGTATTGTTGATAGAACAGTGTATCGTGCATTACATTCTCCTGTAAATAAAGTTCCAGCATTTGACCCTTAAAAGTGGTTACAGCAAGCATTTCTTGGTCTTGGAGAGTTTCACAATTCATTGAAACATGATGTATATGAAACACATTAAGCGTATATATATTCTTTTAATCTATCTATCTATCTTCTTATCAGTATGTATACGCTACCTATTTGTCATACTTTTTTTAACAAATGTAAGAAAACAAGGCCAGGCCAGTGACTTTGTAAAGGAGTTTTGGTTCCAAAATTATTAAATTTGGAGGGGATTGCATGAATATGAACCAAGTTGTGAACAAGGGTGGGAAATGATTTACAAGGTATGGTTCATATTGGTTCCTCTGTTGAATGGCTTCTCCCAGGCGTTTGGTTGCTGGGTTTGTGAGCTTCTTGTGTATTCTTTCTCATGGTCCAGTTTAAGTAGGCACTGCCAACGAACATGTACCAAATGACGACTTCAAAGGCATGCTTGCTTATCCTGATGTTGAGCTGTTGTCAATCAACATGATGCTTTTAATAGCAGAGTGCCTAATGCCGAACTGCAGATGTTTTTGTTCCAGGTGACGAACTAGATCACAGAGGTGGGAGAAGCAGCACCAGTAGCAGAACTAGAATCTTTCTTTTGGATGCTTTTACTAGCAGAGTGCCTAATGCCGAACTGCAGATGTTTTGTTCCAGGTGACGAACTAGATCAGAGGTGGGAGAAGCAGCACCAGTAGCAGAACTAGAATCTTTCTTTTGGATGCTTTTACTAGCAGAGTGCCTAATGCCGAACTGCAGATGTTTTGTTCCAGGTGACGAACTAGATCAGAGGTGGGAGAAGCAGCACCAGTAGCAGAACTAGAATCTTTCTTTTGGCTTCTTTTTGAGAGAGTTAATAAGGTTTTAAATTTTCTTATGTTAATGTTCATGCGCAATAGCAATTGATGAATTTTAAGCTCTGGTAGTAACTTTTCCATTTTTATCACTTCTTTGCTCCGAAGGAAGAACTATCGAAAGCAAACATGTAATTAATAAACGCAAATGTTTCCTTTCCTTGATTTCCAGAGCCAGAGGAGCTATGGACTTCTATTTATTCACAGGCAGAATATCAAAGTTCACAATTTTATATTCACAACCCTTGATATGTTGGTTCTGCTGCATCGATTTAAATAACAGTTGTTATATAACGATTTTCGAGTAAACCATTATTTTATGTTATATAACAGTCATGGTCATTATTTTATTATTGTAATAAGTCGTGATTTGTCATCCATAAATACAATCACAATCTTTTTTTCAACCGCGTTTGTGATTTAAAACTTTTTAATTCTATATTCAGATAAATAAAAATTAGAATCTAATATAATAATCAATGGAGTAATTCTAATACCATGTACAAAAAGAAAATGATATATTATATTTCTATATTTGGTTTAAAGTCTTTCTTTTCCCCATAACCTGCGGTTAATTGGTATAAGAATACATCATGTAACTTTCCTTGTCCAAGTCAAGCAAAGCAAGACTAGTCTGCCACTGCCATTAAAGTTGAACTTTATGGAAGTGGTTTGACTAATAGGACTGATGGCTAACTTTTCATTTGTACCTGCTGGTTCCTGATGGGGCTCCAGCTTCCCGTTTGCCAGACGGCGGTGAAGCGTGAAGACTTTTTAGTGCATTGTTTACATTCTTGCTTCTGGAAAACTAGCTTCAATCCTCGTGTTGCATGCATGCTCCACCAATAATATAATCAATATAAAGTAATCCCAAGTTATCTTTATTTAGGTGGCTTTTCTGGGATTATAATTAAGTGGATTTACTTTTCATACTATCATTCAAAATTGAATTCAAAGTGGGCCAAATCCTTTTTTATGTAAAGATTTGTAAAAGTGATTTTTGAGATCACATCCTCTACGTCATTCTGATGCATTTGAAAAAAATTATATTTTCCCAGCTGCAAACCCACAAAGTTTAGTCCATAGTGCAGGAGTAGAAGCAGCGCGATCATCGGTACATTAATTCAATCAATTAACTTTTGCGCGTTTAAAGGCTGTGTGGTGCTTTCGCACGTACGCGATTGCCTTCATTTTCTTTAAGCATCAGCAAACCACTTTCTAATAAAACTAAAGTACCAGCATTAAACTTGAAAGTTTAGAAATCTGGAGCAGTTGGATAGTTATTTTTGGAATTTTTATTAGGTTTTGAACTATATAACAAGAATAGTTATTTTCCATTACATAATTATAACCGATAAATTATGGATCATTGAAGAAAATTATCGATACACAAATAATAACTAAGTTAGGCTAAAAAGAGAGAGAGAGAGAGAGAATAAACTTCTTTAATTTTGTATTTGCTAAAACGTTACGGCTGATATGATTAAAAATTATAAAATTCATAATTTTTAATTTAATAAGCTAAGAACTAATGCCGGATGCAATTGTAAATTTTTTGGTACAAGTTTTCAGTTCTGAAAATTTTTCATTTAAAATTGTTGAATATATCAAACAAAGAAATCGAAGAAGATCGAATTCTATTTGTACTGTATCTCATATGAATTTTGTATTAGTAGCTACCTTTCAAATGTCAATTTCTATAGACTAGACTTTTTTTAAGTCGTTTATCCATTAAAGTTTCATACCCTAGGAATGGCAATGGGCATCTCCGTCCTTGCCCGCCCTTAGAAAATTTTCTCTCATCCCTGCCTCCAATTCGAAGTAAAGTTTATCATACCATCCTCGTTCCAAACGAAGACAGAGATTCTTGTAGAGCATTGACAGGACAAATGAGGGATAAACGGATTAAAAAAATTATTAATTTTTTTCATCTTGTTTTATTTTATTTTATTATCAAATTTTAAACTATAGAAAAAAAAATTTCATATAGAAAATAAATCCTAAAAATCACTAATCATAAATTTTATATATGATATAATTATAATTTTAGAGATAAAAATCATGAAATGAGAAAAACGGAGCGAAGCAAGTAAATATCATTTCTGCCTCGTTCTCGTTCACTAGATGCCTCGCTCTCCGATGAATATAAGAAATCCCCACGTTGATCAAGATAAAATAGGACGGAACGGGATGGGACTCCATCCAAACAGAGCAAATTACCATCCCTGTCATACAACCAATTAAGATTCCAATATTTCGCAGTTATTATAAATTACAAAGGAATTTAACACGGATGGTATTACTGAGAAAGGCATCAGCAACCTTTTTAAATGACCCAGCTGCATGACCATTTATGACGGAAGGGATGTGAAAAATGACAGCCGGCAATCAGTCTGAATTATGGAACCGCCCGGCTTTGCGTCAACGAGTTCACATTAGAAATACTCATGCAATTATTGTGGCCAAGGTGAGAACTACGGATCGAAACCATCTATTTCATTGATTAGTGCGTGTACGTATACAGTGAACTCCAAATTAAAATTATTATTATTATTGATGGGTATTGTTAAAAAATAATATAAATTAATTATATTTTGAATCTCATATAAAACAATTTAAATTTTTGAATTAAAATAAATTATTAATATAGCATTAGAATTTTGATACTTAAAGGATTATAAATTTGAATCCGATTATTCTTATTTTCTCATATAATTAAGTATAAAATAGTATTGTGTTCTATTTTACTTTAAAAAAATATATTAAAAAATAATATAAATTATATTATTAAATTTTACTTAAAATTTTAATCTTTTGAATTGAAATAATTCTTTTAAGAATATAAAATAATTACGTGTATGTAATATTAGCTTGATGCTATGTGAATGTGAAATCACTGATTACATAAATTAGATTCATGGGAACCAAGATTGTTTGATTGGTTAGTATGTAGAATAACCTTGTAAAATGTGACACAAGACAGGTTCTTTACATGCCAAAATCAAAGTATAAATAGCCATGCAGAGATCACACAAACTCAACCCGAAAAGAGAACCCCTCTTTCTAAAACAACTTGCAATGGCTACTAAAGTCTCCCATTTTTATGTATCCATTCTCCTCCTTGTTTTGGTGCACTCCTTCATAGCTCAATCTAGGACTTTGAAGTCGTCCAATACTTTGGAATTCCTTCAAAACTTGGAGGGATCCCAGAAGGGACAAAATGTTAAAGGGCTGAAGGAGCTCAAACACCACCTCAAAAAGCTAGGATACTATCCAAAGGATCTTCAACATGATACCGATCTTAGCGATGATTTTGATGAGCTTTTCGAATCTGCGATCAAAACATACCAAAAGAATTATCGTCTTAAGGTTACTGGGAGTCTTGATTCTGATACCATAAAAGAAATTATGATTCCGCGATGTGGAGTTCCTGATCCCATCAACCATGATCCATCAAAACGAACAGGCAGAACAGAACATGGCAACAAGTCTAGCAAATTCCACGCGGTTTCTCATTACAGTTTCTTCGGTGGAACGCCGAAATGGCCAGCTTCCAAATTTCATCTCACTTACACTTTCAGCTCCAGTGTCCAAGTTACAATTGACATGCAGGAACTGAGGTCTGCATGCTCTCGAGCATTCCAAAAGTGGGCAGACGTTACCCAGTTTACATTCCAGGAAGTTTCTGAAGGTTCCCCGGCAGATATCGTAATCGGATTTCAAAGAGGCGATCATGGTGATGGGGACCCTTTTGATGGTCCTGGAAATATACTAGCTCATGCCTTTTCACCAACAGATGGGAGGTTGCATTATGATGCTGATGAGAAATGGAGTACTAACCCAAGCACAGATGAATCAGACCTGGAATCAGTAGCTGTGCATGAAATCGGGCATCTTCTCGGACTTGGCCATAGTATGGATCAAAACTCCATTATGTTTGCAGAAATTCCAGCAGGAGCTATCAAAAGGGATCTCAACCAGGATGATATTGATGGTATACGTACTCTGTACTCTAATTAATAACAAAATCTATGTAATTTCCAAGTAAACAAGTGACTACTGCCGTAGACATGCAGGTAAATCTGCGTGTCATAGTCACAGGAAATTAGCAATTGCGGTTAAAATATCATATATAAAAACTAAGCCGCAATTTTATTGTTTTTTATGTGTGTTGTTGCAAAGGTAATGATAACATCAAAAGAGTTAAGTTATAAAAGTAATGATAAAATTAAAAAAAAAATTTAAAAAAAAGATAGAAAAAATTATTATTATTATTATTATTATTAATTATATTTATAGATAGTAGAGTGTCTTCAAATCAGTTTTCACATTAATTAAGATTAAATCCGTCGCTTCTTGACCTAAGTCAACATCATAACACACATAATTAGTAATTAGTAATAAAAGATTGTCCACTAATAAAATATTTTAATACGAAGCGCAATATATTCCTATTGTATTCTTTTTGTGAAATTAGATGTGAATGATTTATATAATATTCTTCCATTATTTATAATTTTTTGTGTTTTTCAATAATTAATTTTCATATTAAAATAAAATTTAAAAATATTTAATAAGTAAACAGTTTATAAAAATTCTAAACAATCAATTTTTTCAAAATAAAAAACATTGTCTGTAATTTTAATTGGTATTCATCTTACAATGTAATGCAATTTAGCAATTTAATCTAATTGGATTGAATTGAATAACCTTTACAAAAAGGGAGTAAAGTCTCACAGAATATATTCTACAAGGACTAATTTTCCGTATTGAAAATTATGATTAGGGTTTTCTTTATTTCCCCTTCCTCTCCTAGATAACACTGAGATACAGAACGCTTGCTGACTGCTGAGAATATTGAGAGAGAGAGACAGACAGAGCATTTTTCGCAGACGATGATGATGCGGAAAAGCGCTTTCACAGCTTCTGCTCCAGCTTTTCAGCTTCAACGAGAAATCGGTATTTGTAAGTTTCCCCATTCTCATACCCATACCCATACCCATACCCTAATGTTGTACTTCTACACCACTTGTGAAGCTAAAAGTTGTTCGCCAGGGAAAAAGGGTAATTCTTGTGGCAATCTTAATAGTGTTGCCGATGCCCATGTTTCTTTCAATCGCTTGGTTAGCATGCGACCAAGGCCAGGTGTTGTGGAATTTAACAAGTTATTAGGGCGCATTGCGAAAATCAAACATTACTCTACTGTCCTTTCTTTCTGCAAACAAATGGATTTCTTAAGAATCAGTCATGATGTTTATAGTCTTAACATTTTGATTAATTGCCTCTGCCACTCCAACCATGTTCCTTTTGGTTTCTCTCTTTTGGATAAGATCTTCAAACTTGGTCTTCAACCCACTCCGCCTTTGTTCTATGGGTAACATCATTGATGCTGTAAAAAGAAAGGATATGAACGATAATGTTATTACTTATTGGGCTGTCATAGGGGTAAAATCCCATTTTCTTTCCTCCCACATCCCACTGTCTCTTATTGATTTCCATTCACTTTCATCAACTTTACCATACAATTGAGTTCCCAAGTTAATTACTGCCTAAGGAATTTGCTTGCACTTTTCCACTACCTTTCCAATTTCAACCAAAATTGTATATTACTACTCCTGTCTTTCCTTAAATGCACACTTATAAAACAACAACAAACAATCCGCTTTATCAATAAGAATTAAGTCGTATGCAGCAACAGTACCCATAATCTCAACAACACGTATCATCTAAACACAAGCAATTATTTCTTACCATTCAAAATTGCTTCCAGTTTTGCTTTCAGTTCGCTCTTATCCAAATCATCACATTTTTCTCCAGTTGCAGATTTAATAATTTTTGGAATCACTTGTTTTAGAGTAAAACCATCTGAAACACATGCCATCATTTTCAGTTCAAAATGAGCACTTTCATCGTAAACCGTTTTGGCCAGAGCAGTCTTTCCTAAACCACCTATTACAGCTATTGGAACAACAAAGGGATTGTCTCTTCCGATAAGAACAGAAAAGCTCTCACAAAGGATTGTCTCATCTCTGTTTCTTCATGCAAGACATGACTATCAACAGTCTGCTCGCTAAGGTTAAACTCGGACTTACGAGATGCAATCTCAGCCAGTCTATCGATGAGGTCCTTTATATTATGACTCATTCTTAAACAGAATGGAATTATATTAGAACTTGAAAAGAAGCGTCATACCTTTCTGTTGATGCTCCCTCCAGTTTTCACCACCTGCCTTCTTAAAGTTTCACACTCAAATTCATCCAATTTGGATTGAATGAAGCAACAAGATTGCTTAAAGAAATGGTCGACAGGAATGTTATGCCAAATACAGTGGCATTCACTATTTTGGTCGATGGACTATGCAAAGAAGGGATGATTTCAGAAGCCTGGTGTGTCTTTAAAATGATGATTGAAAAAGGTGCAGAGTCAGATGTTTACACTTACAATGCTTTAATGGATAGATACTGTTTGCAGAGACAAATGGATGAGGCTGAAAAGGTGTTTGATATCATGGTTGGGAAGGGTTGTGCACCCAACGTTCAAAGTTATAACACCTTGATCAACGGATATTGCAAGATTAGAAGGATGGATGAGCCAAAAAGTCTCCTGGCTGAAATGGCTCATAAAGCATTGACTCCTGATGCTGTCACTTACACCACTCTTATGAAAGGTTTTTCCCAAGCAGGGAGACCTTGGGATGCCCTAAAGCTTTTAGTTGAGATGTGTTCTTATGGCCTGCTTCCAGGTTTGGTGACGTACTCAATTTTGATAGATGGCTTTTGTAAACATGGCCATCTTGACGAGGCATTAAAACTGTTTAAGGCAATGCAGAAGAGCAATGTAGAACCTAATATCATCATTTATACTATCCTTTTAGAAGGAATGTGTATCGTTGGGAAGATTGAAGCTGCCAGGGAATTATTCTCCAACCTTCTTGTTTCAGAAATACGACCTAATGTAAGGACATATAATGTAATGATCAGTGGACTTCTTAAGCAACAGCAGTCTGATGAAGCATATGAACTGTTTAGGAAAATGGTGGACAATGGCTGCTTGCCAGACAGTTGGTCTGACAATATTATCATCCAAGGGTTTCTTCAAAACAGCCACACATCAATTGCAGTACAACTTCTTCAAGAAATGCGTACTAGAGGGTTCTCTGCAGATGCATCCACACTGGAGATGTTGTTCAATCAGGTATCTGATGGTGAAATTATACGTAGATTTCTATGTGGAAATCCTCAAGATGGAAATGCCAAGTGATGCTGCGATGTATTGGTTTTATTTCAAGAAGCTAGCAGCTCGATCTCGTGTAAGGCATTGCAGCACCCAACATTTCTACCTTAGGGACAGTAAATGCCAATTACGTTATTGCAGAACGGTAACTGCTGCTGCATGCTCTGTCTTAGTATAGCCTTTTACATTTGTTGCTCAAAGTGGGCATGTGATTTGCAGGGTGAAGAATATGAGCTATTTTGGCCTAAACAACAAGAATTTGTAAGAATGGCATCTAGGTTTGGTGCCAAAATTGTACCTTTTGGGGCTGTAGAGAAGATGAGATAGCAGAGGTGATAAGTCGTGCCAGCTTTTTCCAGAAATTTCACAGATTTCGGTTCTATAACCTTTTTTTGGATGGTTGAAGCATGCAATAATCTTTCATTTGCATATGAATTTTCTAAAATCTTCCAATATATGCTTTCTTCACCATAGTTTGCAGTTCATTGGGTGGCATGTACACCAGGCAGCTTTTGCAATATGTTCTCTCGTCCAAGGACTTGCTGATGGCCACCAGATATAATGTGGTAGATTTTACATATTCGTTATTTCTTTATCATTCAAGTTACGTTTGCAATTAAGAATATAGGTGTTTCTAGTACTGTTACATTTTTCTCTAATATTCCTTAATTTCTTCCGATTGTTTATGCCAAACTGTCATTTGGATGTTGCATAGTAGAAGTGATGAAAATTAAATGCCCCCAACTGCATGACCGTGATAGAAAGGATGCTATGGAAAAAGGCTAATCGGCAATCACTCTGGAGTTTGGAATGGCGCAGTTGTGTGTCAAGGAGTTCCCCATACAAATAGTAATTATAATCGATTATGGTGGCCACAGTGGAAAATTATTTTATTGAACCAAAACTATTTGATTGGTTGTTGGTATTGTAAACTCTAATATTATATTTTATCCTCCGATATTGTTGCTGTAATGAATTCCTATATTGTGATTAGTTCTCTCCTGATTCAATACGAAACAATGGCATTTTTCCAGTGAAAGCGGAGGCAAGCCCACGACATGTCAGTGCTGAATCTAAAAGAAATTCCTAACGCTGAAATTAAATGATTAGGAATTGTTAAATACATTCATTATATGAACAGTAATATATGTGTATATATATTAAGTTGTAAAAAAAAAAATCATTTGTAAGTGATTATGAACTTATAAGTATTTATGCTTGTTATATATAAAATATTTTCTTATTATTTTGTAAATTTAAAACCACCGTTGTAATTATAATTCCTTGAAATGACTATAGTAAGCCCGATATTATATGTGTTGTTTAGCACTCAAAACTACTATCATATTTATTACATAGAATTTTTCAAAAAATATATCAAAAGAAAGTGAGAAAAATGCTTAGAATGGTAGCCCAAGTTTTGATTTCTAGAATCTGGACTAGAGTAACATAACCTGTGTTTATTATTTTTTTTCCCTTTAATTTCTCCTGATTAGATCGTATCTAAATGAACATTAAATAATAAAAGAAAAACTACATAATAAGTAAATCTTTTTTTTTTTTTTCATTAAGTACATCAGCTTTTATTGCAAGTATGCTTCAAGAGTATGACCTTCTAATTCCTGCAGAAGAACAGAAGCAAATTAAGGCAAAGTAAACAATAGAAAAAAAAAAAAAAAAAAAAAAAAAAAAAAAAAAAAAGAGAAAAAAAAGAGCCCATTTTATGTTTTATTTCATGTGTTGAGCAGCAGATTAATGAAACCTCTTATAGCCCAAACCACGATGTCAAATCAAATCTGCTGGTGGGGAAAAAAAAAACTAACAAGCATTTTCCAATTTCTAGCATAGTATCATCAAACAGCTCTTTAAACACACGGTGCCAGACAAACAGATATTTATGATGTATATTCCTATGTTTTGGATCAATTAGATTTTATAAATCAGCATGAATGAACTTATCAGAGAGGAAATAAAATAATGGATGACCAAAAATATATTGTATAGAAATCAATCCGAGTAAAACTAGTACTACAAAATGCTATTGAGTCTTGACATACGTGTAACCTCCAAATCAATCATGGTTAAGTTATGGTGATTGTACCTTAAAACATAACCATGGTTAACTATTGTCATCCCTAATTGGAATCTGTTAAAAGATTTGATTTAACTATGATAAATAGTTTAACCTATAAATAATATATCTGGATGAAATGCATCAAGAAATCCGCTGTAGCACATTGGCAATTTCTGAGCTTGAAATCCGGGTTCAAATCCCGGCAGCGGAAATGTATTTTTAATTTTTGTTTCCTCTTAAGTGCTTAATTGGGCTTGTTCCTTTTACATTTTTAGCCATAACATATGGATTCACTCAAATAAAGCCCATTGAGTCCAAAAGTTTTCGAATTTTCTTCCTTACTCTGAATTTAACGAGTATGAAAGCGTTCGTTTTTTTTTTTTAAAAAAAAAAAAAAAAAAATCCTCATCTCATCAGGTGACTAATGAACCTTTTTTTAAACTATGGTTGATGAATCCTGATTTTATAAGGATTTGTGCCAGTTAAACATCCTTTCTTTATTGTCAATTTTTTTCCAGGATGATGAAGCCTTTATTGTAGTGATGCTAGCCAATCCAGGTGAGGTTCCTGATATGCAGTACTGTTTGGTTCACCCCCACACTCGTAATTTCTTACTGACTGAAGAATTTTGCTTCATTCTCTCCGTTGCGCACTGACGATTTTCACCTTTTATTTTAGCAACTTCATTTGATAGGTCACCAGTACTGCAAACATTGTTCCCTCTTTTGGATTCTTGGCCTGATGTATCGTATAATGCATTCCCCTATATTCTTAGCTTGACTATGGGTATATGATCTGCTGCTCTGTAATTTTAATTTCTCATTTATTCCCTATATTAGAGGCTTTACCTGATGGATTCCACAGTGCAATCCCCTATCGACTTAGCTTTGTTATGGATACATGCATGACATATTCTTTTCTAACATTAATTAGTTTTTTTTTTTTGATATGAAAATCGATAAGATTATGAAGAGAGCCATGTAGTCAATGGTAAAAGAGAGACTATAGAATAGAAACAGAAGGACTATAGCCAAGTAAGATAATCTTCCTGCCTACCCACTCCTTGATTAGCCAAACTATCAGCATTCATGCTACCATCTCTATTAATTCTAACATTAATTAGTTTTGCTTGTCCTTTACTTTTTCAACTTTTGTTGCAAAATCAGATTTTGTTGGTACATTCTTTAACATGTTATTCATCACAGGCAGACTCATATTTGACAATAATAATAATAAAAAATATTAGCTTAATTTGCACTATAAAAAAAACAAAAAAGCTAAATAGCGAAGGATATTTCCGTCGTTATATTGGATTTGCGACGGAATAACGATGACTTGGTTCTATTGTTAAAATACTTGTTGCTAAATTATCTAACGACAATTTTTATAATCTGTTGCAAATTAGTGATGGTTTGGTTGTTGCTATTTTGACGTATTTCCATAGCTATTATTGGTAAAGTTAAAGAAGAAAAACATCTCGCCATTGATTTGTGACAATATAAAGGAATTAGTGACAGAATATTCCCTCAATAACCGGACCGGAAAAAAACCCAAAAATAGTGACAAATTGAAAAATCCCTAACCGATCGTCCTCACAATTACGTAGCTAATCCAATGCTACAAAAATCGTAAATATTTTACCATCTTATTTAATGGTGGATGGCATCCGTCGTTGATAATCCAACACTATTATTGGTGAAGTTAATGACGAAAAATATCCATTGCTGATTTGTGACAATATAAATGAATTAGTGACGGTATATTTCCTCACTAACCAGATCGGAAAAAAAGACCCAAAAATATTGACAAATTAGAAAATCCCTCGCTGATTGTCCTCATAGTTTCTTTGCTAATCCAACGCTACAACAACCATGAATATTTTACCATCTTATTTAATGACGCATGACGTCCATCATTGACAATCCATAGCAAATCAGTCGGTAGTTCATCACTAATATATACATCTCAATGGCAATCATAATTTGTTCGCTAATTCGTCTCTATTTAGTTATGGATTGTCATCTATCGCTAATTTCCATTGTTAAATTGTAGATTTTTTGTAGTGTTGGTTTAATTGTCATTTGATAGTTAGTAAGTGGTAAGCAACAGGAAGAAAAAAAGAAGAAAAAAACACTCAACCTAATCATTGTTGAATTTCTGTTAAACTTTTTTCTGCGTCATGTTTTGAGGGAGAGGTATAGATCGTTTCATTATGATGCATTAAATTTTAAAAACTCCTAGACGAAGAATTATAACCATTTTGGATCGCCAACCCATTCTTCAGATTCACTAAACTTGAGCCCTTTGTTCCAAAAAATGCAAATGTGATACTCTCTTGGTTTTGAAATACTTCTTCATGTTGATTTTCAAATGTTTTACCAGAAACGTTCAGGTTTTTATTTGCAGTGCAAACCTTCTTGAACTGCTTTTCGCAGTCACATTTCCTATAATAAGGCTCGTTCCATTCATTATTCAGTACTACTGCTTTTGCAGTTCAAATTGCTATCTTCCTTCTTCTTCTTTTTTTCCTTTTCTTTTCTTCATGACATTAGGTAATCTAGTGAAGATGGCATGGTAGATTCGAATATAGGCTTTCCCCACTAGCTACAAATTGAACAGTATTTGTGTCGCAAATCACAATATCTCTTCTTTGGTACCTAGCTTTTCGGTAAGAAAGACAAACGACACTCTCTACATTTGCATTTTTATTGCATTGCGTTCATTTTTTTGTTATTGTTAGTAGAAAGAAACAACAATAACACAAAACTTTAAGTAGTTCTTTTATTAGTTGATTAACATGACCTCAACCATCTTCCATGGTTATTTGGTATCCAACGTAAGAATGACATGGATATTTGCTGTCCCAACCATTCATCTTAGTTTAGATCCCAAATCATTAAGTTTTGTAGACCTCTTCATTTATTATTTACCCAAGGGCTCTAACCCAATGCTAATTAATATGTTTATTTCCAAGTAACTATAGTAAGCTAGACAGTATGTGTTATTTAGCAATCAGGAATTACTTTTATGTTTATTGTATAGAATTTTTCAAAGAATATTTGAAAAAAAAAAGTGACGAAAATACTATTTTCTCATAATTTAAGTACAATTTTAAATTAAAAAAATTAAAAAGACCATTTAAGTAGTAAAGAAACCATTTGTAAGTGATTATGAACCAATAAATAATGCTTATTGTATGTAAAATGGGTTTCGCACCTATCAAGACCCTTTACAATTCGATTTTTTTTTTAAT